TAAGGCACTTCACGTTCTTGGCCAATCGCGCTTTATCCAGTCGCGATTTTGTTCTGTCGCGCTTTTGTCCCCTCGCGCTTTTGCTTCTAGCGCTTTTATCCAGTCGCGTTTTTGCGCAGCCGTGCGCTTTTGTCCCTCGCGCTTTTGTTCCTCGCGCTTCTATCCAGTCGCGTTTTTGTCCATCGCGCACTTGTCCTGTCGCGTTTTTGTTCCGTCGTGATTTTATCCCTCGCGCTTTTCGTATCGCGCTTTTCTCCCTCGCGCAAACGGTTGTCGCGCAAACGGTTGTCGCGCAAATGACACAGATCCCATGCATAAACTGGCATTTTTTAATTGTTGATTTCAACCAATCAGATTACGATTACGTGATAATTTGTACTACACCTTTTCCATAAGTATTTCAGAATGTATCACTTGTATTTCAGATTCATCAATTCTAGTTCAGAATGCGTCAGTTGTATTCCAGTTGTGTAAGTTTAATTTCAGAAAGTGTTATTTGTATTTCAACTGTGTCAGTTGTAGTTCAGAAAACGTCATTTGTATTCTAGTTTGGTCAGTTGTATTTCAGAAAAAGTAATTTGTATTTCATTTTGGTCACTTGTATTTCAGAAAACGTCATATGTGTTTCAGATTATTTATTTGTAAATCAGAAATTGTAAATTGTATTTCAGAATTTGTCAGATGTATTTCAGATGTTATCAATGTAGTGTATTAAATGAAATTTATGATGGTTCACCTATACACCTTGCTTGTGTTGATTTGGGATAATCTGTTCTTATAATATTATTATCTGAAATACAACTGATGATTTCTGAACTACATCTGACAAATTCTAAAATATAATTCACGCTTTCTGAAATACAATCAACGAATCTAAAATACAATTGACGCTTTCCGAAATAAAATTAACTTATCTGAAATACATTTGACGATTTCTGAAATAAAATATACCAGTCTGAAATACAATTGACTCTTTCCGAAATATAATTAAATAATCTGAAATACAATTGACGCTTTCCGAAATACAATTCACTAGTCTAAATTGCAATTGACGCTTTCTGAAACTAAACTGACGGTCTCTGAAATACATATGGAAAAGGTGTAGTGCAGGATTATCGGATTGGACAATTGCTTACTAACGGGTGGCATTTGACATTTTTTCTGATTGCTGACATTTTATACTTACGAGGATATACTAAAAATTTAAATTTTTGATTCATGAAATTCTCTCATAAAATACAACTCGAGCAATGGAAATATATCTATAATTTTTGAGAAATTTGCTCTCATGCATTTTTAACTGGAAAAAGCACTCGTCCCTCGTGCTTTTTTTCAACTAAAAATGCATTTGGGAAAATTTGCCAAAAATTATCGATAATTTCCATTTTATCCCAATTTAATTTTATTTCTAATTTTATTTTATTTTCTGTATAAATGAGCACACGATATTTCGCTTTCTGATTTTTGAAACCTATATAAGGCCTCCAATAGAGTTTTCCTAAACCAAAGAAAAAAAAAATTGTAAAACTATTCTCAAAAAATTTAGAAATAAATATTTGTTCCAACAAATGTTGAGTTTCACTAATTAAAATATACTTACAGGCTGCATAAAAATCAAGGGTGGGAGATCATTTATAAGGGAACACCCTTTGACTCATCTAATTTTATACTGCCCTTCGCTTTTTGTGTTGATGTCGGTCTAACTTAACGGCAAGCTTGCGAAACACAAGTTTTTCTCAAACACGATTTTTTCATGCGGAAAAAGAGCGGCAGATTTTTGGGTTTTCACATTTAATTAGCGGCAAAAAGCGGCAAATTTCCAAAACTTGTCTCTACCACTCAATTTTTCTCTACCGACATTTTTATTGATACTGTTTTGCTCACTTGATGTCAATTGAACAATGATATTTTTTTTCAAACGCGATATTTACCACTCACTCAATTTATCACTACCGACATTTTTAGTGATCTCGCTAACTTTACGTTAAATTAGCAAAACATTATTTTATTTTCGAACACGATTTTCTTATGAAAAGAAAGATAGCGGCAAATTTTTAGTTTCCACATCTAATTAGCGGCAGAAAAACGGCAAATTCCCATTCACTCAACTTATCACTACCGACATTTTTAGTGATATTGTCTCGCTAACTTGACGTCAAGTTAGCGAAACACATGATTTTTTTTTCAAAGTTGATTTTTTGTGAAAAAAAGAAGCAACAAATTTTTGGTTTTCACAAATAATTAGCGGCAAAAAAACGGCAAATTTCCATTCATTCAATTTTTCACTACCGACATTTTTAGTGATAATGTCTCGCTAACTTGACGTCAAGTTAGCGAAACAAATGATTTATTTTTTTCAAACTTGATTATTTATGCAAAAAAAAGAACCGGCAAATTTTTGGTTTACACAACTAGTTAGCGGCAAAAAAACGGCAAATTTTCATCTACCTAATTTTTTACTGCTGACATATTTAGTGATGTTGTCTCGCTATCTTGACGTCAAGTTAGCAAAACACGTAATTAAGAAAAAACCAAAAGAGCGGCAAATTTTTTAATTCCACATTTAATTAGCGGCAAAAAAGCGGCAAATTCTTGGCATAACGGAAAATCGATTTTCCGAAGTTGTCTCGCTAAGTTGATAGACATAAATAATTTTGTACTTCATCTCCTTATCATTTAAAGGTTCTTTACACTTTGAACAAGACATGATTTAAACAGACTGGACTATAAATCTTTTCGTATTCAAAAACTTCCAAATTGACTGCACTATACCTAGTTGTTTATTTATCAGGTCGAGGCGAACACTTTTTTTAAATCAATTACATTTTTGTAATTTTTCGAGAACCTGTTTCTATTACCGGATTTCTAAAAAGATAGCATCATTCGTCCCTATATTATAAATCGAATGCAAAAAATAAATTTGATATAACTTCAACTGTTAAAAAGTTATGTTGAAATTAAGAACGCAATGCATTCCTTGTTTCATTCATCTCATTTCCACTAAGGCGTATTAATAGGGGAGGAAGAATACAATAATAGACTGCCTTAGGTGCTTCGCGCAGGAAAAAATATTTTGGCATTGAGGCGCATTCAATCTCCTTAAGGTGAAAATGTTGCTATTTTTGAAGTATTTCTACAACTTGGTAAAGAAAATATTGTTTATTTACGACTAATGTATAATGTGCGTATTATATTTGTAATTTTGGCAGTATAATGACATATGTTATTCCTCCAGGGATTAATGACGAGTAGCGGGATTAATGGTCATTATTCCACAAAAGTGTCAGTGTCAAACGTGTAGTGCTTGTGGATTCGTATTGAAAATTATGAGACGGATGAAATTTGTTCATTGAAAATCTCAAATAAATTAATTTGTCGTAAATAAAGTAGAGTATACTACTCGCAATAATGGCTATTATTCCCCCGGAATGTTACTCCCTCGCCGCTAACGCGGCTCAGTTCGTAATAATCCTCGGGAATAATAGCTATCATTATTGACTCGTGGTATAATCTACTATTATACAGCCCGTTTTTGGAGAATAATGAACAGGGTGGGCCAATTTGGACCCTTTTAATAGGAAACATCAATTTCTGAGCGGGGTACAAAAAAATGAATCCCCCACTTTGAGGCTCCATGAAATTTTGATTGGTGTAAACCGCATTTTGATATCTTCAACCGCTTAGCTGCTAGAGGGCGATTCTTGATTTTGAGCAAAATTGTGAAACCTTCATAACTTTTTTATTTATGAAAATAATTGATTTCCGTAAAAACTTTCTGGAAGCACTTTTTCAAGCAGAATTCAGTGACGTTCTCAGTTTTTTTCTATTTGGCGCCAATTTTGAGATATCGACCAGAGTGATTTTTTCAATAGAACACCCTTTTTATTAATAGCTCATTGAAAAGCTATGATTTTTCTGATTTCAGTGATATAAAATTCAATAGGTTTATCTCTAACCGTTTTCGAGAAAAAAAAATTATTTAGGTTTTTCTCATAAGAAGCAATGTGTTAGAAAAGGACTTTATATCTGTAAGGAAAATGAAAAAGATCTCTTTCTTATGACAAAAACCAAAATAATTTTTTTTTTCTCAAAAACTGTTTGAGATGAACCTATCGAACCTGATATCATTGAAATCACCAAAAGCAGAGCTTTCCAATAAGCTAATAATATATGGGGTGTTCTATTGAAAAAAACCGGACTATGGTTAATATTTCGATGTTGGGGCCAACTAGAAAAAAAACTGAGAACGTCACTGAATTCTGCTTCAAAAAGTTCTTCTAGAAAGTTTTTACAGAAATTAATTATTTTCATAAACAAAAAAGTTATGGAGGTTTCACATTATTGCTCAAAATGGAGAATCGGCCTCTAGCGGCTAAATGGTTGAAGATATCAAAATGCTGTTTGCACCAATCAAGATTTCATGAAATTTGAGCACCAGAGTGGGGGGTTAATTTTTTTGTATCTCGCTCAGAAATTGACGTTTTCTATTAAAAGTGTCTAAATTGGCCCACTCTGTACTGCCCATATCCTGCTTTTGACCGGTTAAGAGAGGATATGTGATGTGACACTTCACACTTCCAGTCTAGACACAAATCTATATGATGTACTCTGAGGAACTTTTGATGGGATTGGGATGTCACCCGCTCATTTCCAATATCTATCTCGGGATCTATCTGAGCTTACCAAGGCGCCTGTTCGGCTGGAAAAGTATATTGGATGTTTTCCTGACATTCAGGACTATGTAGCTTATTAAATTATTATTTATATGATTTTAAGATTATCCAGATTAATATCTTTAAAGATAAATGTTTGTATCGTCTGTAAATAGAGAACGGAGGGGAACTTGCAATTTGCAAATTCCTCGGCAAATTCACATCAAGATCGTTTAGATAATTATATTTTAGGTCTTTAAAGAGTGAGTAAACTGAGTTCTTTACAAGGGTGGGTAGATTACAAATTACAAGTAAAATTTCAATAAACATGGAAATTAAAAAGCTAACCTCTCTGGCCTGTTCTTGCCCGACCAAGCCGGCCGCCTGGGCAATAGCAAATCCATTTTCGTCTAGACCCAAGCCTTTAACGTGACTATGGGCACTAATTCGTTGAGTTTTTATGGTACTTTTCACTTCCTCCACCTTCATTTTTTCGAGATTTTTGAAAACGAACTATTTATTGATCAAACAAATAAGTTTTCGTTGTTAGGGAAAAAACAAAACGAAAGGAAAATAAGCACAAATTTTGACTTGTTTATGAAACGTGCTGGGTGACATTTGACTTTGACAAGTCACAATTGGGTTCGACTTGCTTACTCCGTGCACTCTAACGGTGAGTTCGGCTATACAGCGCGGAGTTGGAGTGGAGTGAACAGAGCTAATGGAGTAACCCCTGATAATAGGTCTGTTTGTTATTTTAGTGTAGAATAGGTCAGTGCAGACTGCTGGTGCAGTTAGGTGTTGCTCATAATCACCAGGTAAAGGAAAACTACCAAACGCGTTAGTGCAGTTCGTGTAGCGATGGCAGCGGATATCTCTAACCCCAAAAAATGATTATTTAAATAAATTAAAGTAGAAACTGACTCAGAAAAAATGCGTGTAATGTTATTGAAAAAAATAAAATTTACAAGGTTTTATTGTCGGAAATTATAGAGAAGATGAAGATTCCCTTTCTTCCAGCTTCAAGACAGTTTCATTGAAGTAGTTTTTAATACCCAGAAGCGCAATAAACGAAACTACATTAAGAAAATATTTTGAGACTGTAGTGACTTCTTATACAGATATCTCTGAAATCGAGGTTTGAAAATATAGTAACGGCCAAACAAAACAACACTATTGTGCCCTCCCCATTCTGCACTGGTTACACCTCCTCTTGAGCAGGTGTAGGTAGTGCAAGATTGGGCACCCTACACTGAAATAACAAACGCCTTACACTATTTGCACTAACCGCATAACAAACGCCTTAGTGCAGAAAAGTGTCAATTATTGTGCATTAGTGGAGGATAACAAACAGACCTACCGTAAAAAGCATTACCCGAACCTTAACCCGAACGGCTGGAGTGCGAATGGAGTCACTCCGAGTGCACGGAGTGAGCAAGCCGAACTCACCCTAAGTACTCTACTCTCTTCGGGTATGGGATGCAAAATCAAAACATAAAGCATCAGCTGCTTTCGGGTGCCACCCTTTGAACGCTCCCGAGTTTAAAGCCTAGTACTCATAACTGCGGAATTCGCATTTTTTTGACATTGCTTCGACAATTTGACGTTTGATACACGCATAAAGCCTAGTACTCATAACTGCGAAATTCGCACTTTTTTGACATTGCTTTGACAATTTGACGTTTGATACACGCATAAAACATCAAAATGTCGACGCAATGTCAAAAAAATGCGAATTTCGCAGTTATGAGTACTAGGCTAAAAAAGATGGGGATACACTCAGTGCGCACTGATTGACAAATGGAAATCGCCGTTAGACGGCTACTGAAATAACAAATGTCACAATTCACCTGTTCTTTTCACGTGGCTCCGGTTTAACCAACCGAGTTACAAAACGGTTAGAGAAATGACATACCGTTTTCTAACCCGGTTACAAAGTGACGTGATGGATACCTACCACTCAAATTTGAGCGGTATGTTGCGGTTTGGTAAACCGGAGCCACGTGAAAAGGGTTCTTGGCTGGGGCGTTTCTCAACCCAATTAAGGGCGGGTATTATAAAACTACTTTGAGAGTTAACTTAAAGTTAACTTCTGGAATTACATGTATTTCAAAAAGTTAACTTCAAGTTAACTGTCAAAGCAGTTTTATAATACCCGCCCTTAGGGTGGGTATTATAAAACTACTTTGAGAGTTAACTTAAAGTTAACTCTCAAAGTAGTTTTATAATATCCACCCTTAAAGGTAAAATAAGCTCGGATTGTCGAATCGTGAATGCTCCCTGCTCCCTAGCGCAAATAGAGTAGAATTTCAATCATTCGGCCCCGGAGTCGGGTAAGTATGTAGAGCTCATTGCAAATGTTCCACCTCAGGAAAAGAGTAGTTAGAATTACTTTGAATTGAAAATTGATACAACCAAAGTCTGTTTTTTTTTAAAGATAATTTCCCAAGTCAAAAATTTAGTATATAACTACACTTGGCCAAACATAAAACTGGTACGCATTTTCCTATTGTGTTGTATTGTGTAAATCGACATTTTTTATCACCTCAACAATGACAAAAAGAGTCAAGTCAGTGTCATATTTAAACCAATCATAACAAAAAAACATGTTGTATTTACTTTTGTTCAGCTTTGACAATGACAAAAACTGTCTAGCCAATTGTGTTTCAGAAAAGACTTTGGGCGGGTATTAGGGCGGGTATTATAAAACTGCTTTGACAGTTAACTTGAAGTTAACTTTTTGAATTACATGTAATTTCAGAAGTTAACTTTAAGTTAACTCTCAAAGTAGTTTTATAATTCCCACCCTTATACAACTACTTTGAAAGTTAACTTTTTGAATTACATGTAATTCCAGAAGTTAACTTTAAGTTAACTCTCAAAGAAGTTTCATAATACCCGCCCTTTCTGTTGTTAAGCCTGATTCACACTAATCACACTAGGCAAATTTGTTCATTGATTTGAAGTATATAATTTACCAGTTTTATGTTTGGTCAAGTGTACATATAGCCGCTGCCCAGCTGTGTGCTCCAAGCACAGTGCAACACAGTGTTCTGTGTTTGAACGCAAAAGTTAGCAGCTCTCGAAGCGCATTTGCGCGCGCAAAAGCTCGAATGCGAGCTCAAAATGGTCAGCTGGAAAGCGGCTTATGTTGGCAACACAAGCCTTTTCTACATAAAAAGTTTGAAAGCACTGACAATTTTACTACATTTTATTGCCAACTTAAGTCGTTTTTTTGACTTTTATCTTAAAAAAAAGGGAGTGAACTCTGCGCCTACCGGTAGGTGCTGTTTGTTTCATTGATTGTGTGCCTACCGTTTATGTATACCGCTAAACCATTATAGAAGGTCCCCAATTGCCACATGATATAACGCCTATCGGTAGGTACTCTCTGTTAAAAGAATCCTGAGCCTACCGGTAGGATCACATTTATTCAAGAATCCGTCGCCTACCCTACCTACTCTCTATTTACCTATCTAACCTAATTACCTGCATTTACAAGAAGGTGACATATTTGAAAAAGCTTTCCACGTTTTTGGTGGATTTATGCTTCCGATGATCTTCTTTTTGAAGTTTGGCGAGCGGAGCCAGCATTCAGAGACTTAGAAATGATTAAAATTTCAAAGTGTTATATTTAATAAAGGTTGTTCACGTTTTTGGTCGAAGACTCAAAAACAAATTCAAGGTGTGTGCAGAAGGATTTTTAATATAGCTTGCCGTTTAGCAAATGAAGCAGATTCTAAACATCAACAAGTTTAAAGCCCAAATTGATATCCGCGATCAAATGGTAGAATATGAAACCTCTTGCTGGAGGTGACGTCAGCTGCAGTCCGTTATTGTTGCGTTTACTATAAGGATTTTTTAGTGACTAACCGTTTGTAACTGTGTCATAAACGGTAACTGAAAATATATGTACTTTCAGTTACCGTTAATAACACGGTTACAAACGGTTAGTCGCTAAAAAATCCTTTTTGTCATACACTCCCAAAAACAGCGATTTTACGGACTCATTCAAGTCCGTAAAATGCTTCTTTTTAGGATTTTTTTTTTATCTGGATGCACCTTTATGATTTGGAAAATTTAAGAAAATTTGCAAATTTTAGCGTTCTGTAGAATTCCAAAAACGTACTTAAACGAAGTTTTTCAGGACTCATCTGCTATTCAGGACTCGGCTAACGCCTCGTCCGGAAACAGCAATGATTCGTCTAAAAAACTTCATTTTAGGTACTTGTGACAAAAATAACTATTGTGTAAATGCTTCATTCATCATTATAGGCATGGAATTGATGGGAAACTTGCAGTATTTTTATGGATTAATGATTATGAATATCTAAACATTGCAACCATCTTTCGCTTTATATTTTGATATTGATATTGATATTCTCTGTTGAAGAACCCGGATCAAAATTAGTTCGATGGAGATTAAAAATAGCAAAATATAATTATTATGAAATCAAATACAAGAAAGGAACTCTTAATATGAATGCAGAAATTAAAATAAATGATGAACATAAAGATATTCCATTATCGAAATCTATATACTCGCTCAGCAGATTCACCACAAAAAGAAAAATTAAAACTTAATATCAAAATCTTGTCTCAAATAATAATACCTCCAAAAAGATTGAAGAAGAAAGATACCATTGAAAAAGATCCAATACAAAAAGATACAATTGAGAATGAAGTAATCGAAGACGATCAAACGTTTCACACTTCATCCTATAACTAGTTGCCCCTTATATGAAAAAACATGTACCTAAATCTTTTTCCTAATCAAATAATTTTTAGATATTCTACTAATAATGCTATTCGCAAAGAAAGTTCCATTTCCTAACAAAACCAGAATAACATTCTTTTTACCTAATGACCGACAGTGGTGGGTACAGGTGGCGGGGACAGGGGGGCAGTTGCCGCCCTATACCTATATTTTCAGTTGTTTTTTCTAGTCTTCCTATATGTATTTTGTAATTTTTTCTAACTATTATTGAATATAGAATGCAAATATTTATTTTCTATTTCGTATTTATACTAGCTTCAAAGCAGTTTGTGTTGTGTTAAAGTTTGTTGTTTATCCAATTTATTAAACTAGCACTATTGTCACTACCTAAGTAGTGTTTAAGTTGATGTGCCGCCAAAACTAACCCAAACTAAGCCAATATGGGCTTAATTTGGTTTACTGCAACTTAAACTGCCCACCCGTTTCAAAAGGCCTGTATTCGCCTCTGATGACCCATTAGAGGATCAAATTATTAAATTAATAAAGGAATATCTTCCACCAAATAAGTATTGTATGTATTTACACAACAAAACGTCAGAACCTTTTATACTTAGAGTTCTAAGTACCTACATCATTCAATTCGAACTCGTTCAAGTCATGTATTTCCAATTCTTTTGTTGAAGACATAACAGAAACTGATGAACAGCAAGAAAAAATTAAACTATACCATGAGACTAAAACATCTCATCGCAGAGTTACAGAAAATGTTTCATCTTCAAAGAAACGATATTATTGGGCTAATTTAGAAAAAGACGTACAGTCATGGACCATAAAAAGTGGGACACTCGACTGACAGCTCTTATCATTTTTCGCTATTTAGGGCGGCTTCTCATGAGCGTAATTTGACATTTATGGCGTGACAGCGTACCTGAATGCAGAATTCTGATTGGCCAAAATTCCGCCATATTGGATACACTCTGCCGCAGATACGCCAAAAGTTGAGCAAAGTTCAACTTTTTAAGTAAAAATTCAGAGTTTTTAGAGGTTAAGGTTGCAACCGTTTTGTTTTCTTGATTTTTGTGATTTACTGTAGGCATTTGGAACTAAAGCAAAAATAAATACAAATTTGTACAATCATAATTTAAAGAAATATTTCAAAATTTAGGAAAAAAATATAATTTTGACATATGCGGCGGCGTAAATTCTCCACTTCATGTGAATGTTGTGCCAAAATTCACGTATTCAGCATTTGCGCCAGTTATGTCAAGTTTACGCTCATGAGAAGCCGGCCTTAGCGTAAATCAGTCTTTTCTCTACAATCGATTTTTTATCAGATATGACAATCCCTGTCATTGCCGTAGGTATAGCTGATGAGCCCGTTTTACAATAGGAAAAAACGGGTGTCCCACTTTTTGTGCTCACGACTGTACAAGCATATGTCAAAACATGCGAAATATGTAATAAGAGAAAATATGAAAGGCAACCCTACAAAATAATATTCAAACCAACTCCAATCGGTTCAAAACTCTTTGAATATCTTTGTATTGATACATACGTTGTTTCGAATCAAAAATTCCTAACAATTATTGACAACTTTTCGAAGTTTGCACGAGCTATCCCATTATAAGTAAAACATCAGTTGAGATTGCATCACAATTAATAAGATATTTCAGTGATCACGAAATTCCAATAAGATTTACTTCTGATAACGGAACTGAATTTGAAAATGCAAAACGCAATTGTAACAGATTTATGTACTTCACATAAAATCGAATTTCAATATTCGACTCCTCGAAATCCCAATTCGAGCAGTCTAATTGAGAGATTACATGCTACCTTGAGGGAAAGTTTAACAAGCTTGAAATTACAAACTCCTGATAAAAACATTAATGACCTAATGGTAATTGCAATCTTGAACTACAATAACAGCATACATGGTGTTATAGGTTATACACCTTTTCAAATTAATTAAATTAATTAATTAAAGGCGATTTAAATTATTCAATACCTATTGAAAATTCACAAAATAAGATAACCACAGATTATATTAATAAACTTGCCGAATCATTAGAAACTCTAAATAATGTAATTCATGACAAATTAATTTCAAGACAAACACAGAATTTAGGAGAAATTAATGAACAACGTTAAAAAGAACCTGAATTAAAGGATCCTATTTTAATTAGGCAATTTGACAGAAATGAAATTATTCCACGATATGGTACTGAAAAACAAGTCAAATTTAGTGTACAAATGGTAAAGCGACAACATTTTGTTTCAGAAAAACCAAAATGTTCCTGGCAAGCCCCATCATCCTCATCATAGGAATTTCCAGTAACGCCTACACGTTAACTCCATTAAGAAATCCTATTTTACCGATTTCTACAGGAACCACTTACATCAAAACACAACATAATACTGCATGTTATCACATTAACACTACCAAGTATTAAAACTCTCGAAATAACTTTAAAGAATTTAAACAAAACTTTAAATCTAACCAAATGGTCTAATAAAGACGAAATTGCTACTTTATTAAAAGTGAATATTGAAACTAGTAAATCACGTATCAATACATCAAAGAAATTTGTGTAAAACAATTCTCACACGAACGAAATAAATGTGGAGTATTCAATAGACCTGTCTCGCATGATTAGAAAAAGTGAGCTTAATTGTAATAAATACAAGTTAGAAAGCAATAGAAGATGACATGCGCGCGCAACTCGTAGGCTGCAGTGTAGCCAGATTGTATTGTTGCAGAACAAAATGTAGACAATACAAATCGAACATTATGACATTGAAGAAGTGATATAATGTCGAGGGTTTTACAATGCCTTAAATCAGACAAAAGAAGAGCTTTAAAGTGGATGACTATCGCTTGCACTTTTATTTTGATAAATGATTCATCCGGCAACATCGCTCAATGAAATATGTCAAGTATAATCTAACATAATCTTGAACGAAACTGCGGTGAGTTCAAGTAATATGTAAAGTATTAGTTTGCTCCTTGTCAAATTACACGTTACAAAGAAAGAAGGAACGATTGATTCTGAACTGGCTCCTGAATTAGAATATGACGCAAGCCTGTCACAAACTAGCTTCTCATTGGAAGCTCACCTGCAGCCTACAAGCGACGCGCGCAGTCCAGGTAATAGGAGATCGGTCTATTCCATAGGTACAGCACAGAAATGGCTGTATGGAACATTAGACGCAAATGACGGTGATACATATGATTCTTAAATTCAATCATTAAATGAGAATCAGAAAACTATCGATAAAAATCTTAAAGACCAGACAAACGCACTTAGACGTATACATTTCACGATCAATTCTCAAATATCGAAAATAATCAGATATTAATTTCAGATAAGATAAGAAATATTTCGACGGATAATCAAAACATTCAAATTATCTTAATGATGAATCTAATTTTACAAAATATTAATATGCACAGTAGAAAACTACGCGAGTTAATTAACCACATACAAAACGCTCACGCAAACATAATGCATTATACAATACTGCAGCATAATGAATTAAACTTGATCTTGAAAAATATACCCACGAGTCAACAAATACCGTTTGACAACGTAATTAAATACTATGGCACAATGTCCTCTCGTGTAATAATTGAAAAGGAACTAATTATATTTACACCAATAATTATTCCTAAACCTTTTATACATAAACTATTTCTATACTCATCCAAAATTATACAGTGTTAAGTATCTTTACCTGTTACTTACCACAGACACGTATTACAATGCTCTACAAAAATGACCAAATATTGAAGACATTTATTTGTGCAAAATGGAACTATTGAAAGATGAGCCCTGTGTTCACGATATTCTATCTAGTGAATAACAATTATGCCCATTCACGAAATTCAATACGAAAAATCGACAGTTGAAGAAATACCCAATAATCAAGTATTGGTTATTCCAAAACGACATGTGACAGCAATGCTGCAATGTCACCAGAAGAAATATTATCCGTTCACAATCCGATGTCCACAGGTACAGGTAAAATTTATCACCTTTCAATGCTATTTGATAGGGAAAGGTGATAAAATTACCTGCACCTGTGGACATCGGATTGTGAACAGGATATACATGAAAATCATTTCCAGTTCAATCGTAATTTCCAAAGGAAAATGTTCAACAACAATTAACAATCGAACATTTTTGGAAGACATGCATGAGAACTTCAACCTAGAACTAGAACTACCCATCATCGTAATTCCTGAACTTCCAGAGAATACCACAACTGTATATAAGACTAAAAGCGGTCGATCATGAAGCTCTTCAATCAGCGATTAAAGAAGCAGATAAATTAAAGACTGACCCGTTGAAAGAGTTTAAATTTTACAATAATGTGTCAACCTATTATAATCATAGTATTAACTGTGGTATTAAGTTCTATTTTAATAACAATTATTCTTATTCTATATTTTAAAGGAAAATGTAGTAAAACGAAAACTGAGGTGTAGATTGAATTGCCCAACATTGTTAATCAATCCGAATTTACAACCACTTAGGGAGGGAGGAGTTATATTATAAAACCCTATGTTATTATTATACAAATAATTTTCCTTTTCAATGGTAAATATAAGGTATACGCCCCTGTAAAAGCCCACGATATTATAAAGATGCTGAGTAAGGGCTACTGCCTGGCAAAGTACCGCCATATCGAGGTTTCGCCCACACAAAATGCAAGCTTGGCAGTATTTTAATATAAATACGGCGCGCGGAGCCTTCTGATTATTTTTTTTTGTTTTTAGTTATTACTATAGCAGTTAGAATCAAGATTCTTTTGTTTTCGGGCTTTTGCCGCATCAATTTAGACTCTAGTATTTTTTGTTCTAACTTCTTAGTTTTTAATAAAATAAATAGTTAAAAAAAAAAGATTAACTGAACGAAAAATATAATTTGCTTTTTAATGACAAAATACCTCTAAAATGAGTAGGTAGTATATCTATCCCAGAAATCAATTGATTTTCAATTAATACATTTATATTTTATTATGAGTGTATGTTCAATTGCAATACAAAAAGTATCTACCTATAAGTAGGTACTTATTTTGTAACATAAGAATTAATTATTTCACGCTTTAATTATATCTACTGATAATAATTATTAGTTATAATGCATCTCTTTCTTGTTTGTATCGAAACAATAATTAAAATTTAAACATTCCAATTGATATTACTACTATAAAAACAGAAATATTGAATTTGTCCTTTCAAACTATTGTCTGTAGCCTATTAAGAACAATGTCGAACCAAGAAAATAATCAACAGTTGATCGGTTGGTCCAAGATTGTCATGATCAACACAGGATTTTGGAAGCGGCCCATAAGCGAAATCAAATCAGTTCAACTATGTTTCCAAGTTTATTCAGTTTTGGCCAAACTCGCTTACATTTCACTTTGGATTCTTACAACGGTTGAACTTATCAGAATGTTTTTGAATGACTATCCAGATCAAATCAAATTTCAAGCGTTAAGCATTGTAGCTAGTTGTACAATAATAGGTTCGAAAACGTTGATTTACCTTAAGTATGACGTCATGGAGATGTTCCATGATGTTATTGAAAAAGAAAAGGAAGTGTGGAGATCATCAAGTGAAGAAATTAAAAATCTTTATCGAGCTAAAATTCGCGTTTGCAAAGCTTATATGTTGACTTTATGTGGATTTACAGCTATATCATTAAGCTATTTCGAACTAGCAGGTGCGAGTTGAGTCACCTAGAAACTTATATTATTGTAATTCAGCATCATTGTTTTTTAGGTGCATTTGCAATGGTTGAATTAAAACACCAGAACTTGATAAGTAATCAAACCATTGAGCCAAACTTTATGTACCTAACATTTTTTCCAAGAGACAAACTTGGTAACTTGTATTTAACATTTAGCTTGCAGACAATATGGTCATGGGCTGGCTTTAATTTCAATGGTATGACTCACATGGTTTTTTTAACATTAGTCAGCTATTCTGCTTCACAGTTGGAGATGTTGCAAGTGAAACTTAAAAACTTTATAGGGCCTGGCGATTTTATTGCCGATGCAAAATACAATGAGACAATTTCTGTTTTAAAAAACTTAATTGATGAACATAAGTATATCATCGGGTATGTAATACAAAAAAAAACACTAAGACCTTTCTATGTTGAAATTTATTTTCAGATTTGTTCAACATTTAAATGATTGTACAAAGTATGTCATTCTCATGGAATATGGTTTAAGTTCGCTGAATATGGCGTCAGTAGCCCTGAATTTAATACAAGTGAGTACTCAGTCAGTGTAAGTAAAAAAATGGCTGAAATGGGCCTTTATATACACTCAATAAGTTGTGATGTGATTATATATTTAGCCGATACACTCCGAGTTAATGTAGTCCAAATTTTACAATACTGAAAAATAGGGTTTTGAAACCTTTAGAATCTACAAATTATTTAATTTATAGTTTTACGTCTCAGATCTTTAGTTTAAAGTTCCAAAATATGAAGTTTTTAAAATCTTTGTCGTTGTCTCTCGAAGCCATTAAGTCAAAATCTTCATTAGAATCTCTTGAAGGCTCTATATTTTTTGGCATTTTTCCAATTTATGAACGGCTTTTAAGTCAAGACAAAAAAATGAATCTTCAGCAGACCCTTCATCTCATCAGAATGTATGGTTTTTGTTTCTCCAAATAATTGTAGTTTACTTCTGGCCTAATTATTAATGGTAAATAGTTCCAAATTGGAGTAAATAGTCTTACAAATCCACTTGACCATGTATTTTTGGTTCAAATTTACATTGAAAACCAGAGCATTGTAGCAAAACGCCCCAAGTACTCTATGTAATTGGTTAGATGGTAAATGGCGAGTTGGTGATAGATCACTTTAGGTCCCTTTAATTGTTAATATGATTTTGATTATTACTGATAAACAAAGCAATTTCAAGATGGTTAGCGAGAAAAAAAATATGGATCCTTGAATATTTATCAAGTTATGATTTTTTTAATTTAATTTTTTTCTCTGTTGATTGTGCATCTTTGATAGGTATAGCGATATTAAGCTGATAAGAATAGATATTATTCATTGATCTGTGTCAAAGGTTGAGAAGCGAGAGGATATAAGGCATTAGTGACTAGTGATTTTTTACAATTATTATTATTTTGTTCATTTATTTTGTTTACTTTAATAGATTTCCATTTTATGGCAAAATCAGCATACCACCTTGGTAAATATTTATAATATTTGATGTTTATGGAAAGGGCTTTTTTGAGGTTTTTTACTGATTTTATTGATTTTTTACTGGTTTTTTAATGACATTTTGAAAATTCCTACCTAATTTGTGATTAGTTTCCTTAATTAACTTAGTAGTTGTCTATTAATGACCTGACGGTGCAATCTTTGCATTGAAGTAAATGGTCAATATTTTGAACAATTATTGTAAACCATAATTTATTTGTTAATAAATAAGCAAAATTAATGAGTAAACAGTGATTTAATTATTGCGAAGAATAAAAGTACCAAACAATGTTTTCGCTCTACAGCCCAAATGGCTCATTTGCGGACATATGTTTATATAAACAAAAATGCTTGTTTTTTGTTTTGATGTACCTTAACCCTTTAAAGTTTGTCGGCATCTTTTTAGGACACCCTGTATATTTAAATAATATATTGTTTATCAAAAAAATGAACTCATTCATATTTTTTTTTCTTCATTATATCCTAATAATTGCTCCAATGCAAATTTGAACATAGAAAAACTGTCCGTTTTTAGGGACCTAATGTGTTCTAGACCCGGCGAGTGGTATATGGATGGTGTTTATTTCCTTGGAGCTGCTACTTATAAAAAACTTTTTATCAATTTAATCAGAACAATTATTATTTTCGAAAATCTAGCTAACATACAAAATTATTTAAATTCCTATTAGTTCATTACTATAGCCCTTAAACTTCAATTGGACAATCCAATTCAAAATTCTCTGATAATCCCTACTCAAATCGATACTTGTTAAGTGCATTATAAATTCCCTTCATATTTTTTTTGCAAAATTAAATTAGAATGTCATTATATCTGAAGGCAATTAAAGTTATGCAATAATGTTCCATAGTCAAAACACTCGAGTTATTACTATTTAAGCAATAAAGTTCCAAAGTTAATTCACTTCATAGTCATTCATCATTTATAAAGTCAAAAAGTTTTACTAGTCAAAATCACTCAAGTTTTTAGGCATTAAAGTTCAAAGTTTAATCACACAAAGTCATGTTCATCATTTATAGTCAAAATAAATCTTGTCACTATAGAGTACTTACATTTTGTCCATAAAACACAAAACTAATCTAATTTAATTCTTTTGATTACTTAGAGCTCGCACATAACAGGCCTGTTTCTAATGTTTGAACGACTTTAATGTTCCCGGTCTTTCCAAATTTTTCGTACTTTTTCTAAGTTAAATCAAACCCGAAGCCATACGCCATAAAATAAACTTTTCGCGAATTTTAAACGGACTGACTCATTAGGTACTGTAGACTTTAACTAAAACTGGACTGAACTGCGAACTAATCTGACCACACTCTGATGATCTCAACTGAAACCGCGGTATTTATATTATTCGATCCCCCCAAACTTTCTTTGTCCATAACAATTAAGATGATGCAATCTCCTTGAAATTTTTGTCATTTTATTTGTTTAAAATCGAATAACTGCAATTTCCTGATTTTATCGAGGTCACGGATATTTTTTGGTTCAAGAATGCCATAAATCATCCGATTTAATTATTATGGCCTCGCTTAAAAAAGTTCATTGATCGGATGTTAGGATAATATAATTTCGAAATCGAATGTATTTGGGGTCACGGTAATTTGTTCCATTTTCAATTCATCGATACTGATTTGGAAATAAGGGAAATTTAGTTTTTGATTATTTGATTATATTTAATTTTTACAGTGAAGACATCTATTTTCAGGATCATTACAACCTATTCTGAAAATGTTCCAAATGTTGTTTCCTTAAAAGGTGTAAATTGGCATTTCAACAAAGTTTTCCACGATTTTTTTTTTGATTTCCAATCAAAATTCATCCACGTAGTTTCACAACAGATCCATTCGAAGCCTTATTTTTGTGATATTTATTCAAATTTGTTTCGCATGACTGTTTGTATTGGAATACCAAAACACACTGTCCTGAATGGGCGTAAAACGTAGATACATTTTTCGAGATTTTCTATAAAATAAATGTCCAACATAGTTTTAAATGTGTTTCAGGCTCCAAACTGGAACAAATAATCACACTACAGATTCAATATTCTTCACCTACTTACATAATGATCAACGTCTTTTATTACTTTATTCTAGATGGATTTATCACGATCAGAAATGGGATGGCGATTGGTTTTTGTAACACTACTATGCGTTCAAGTATTTATATTAGGCTGGAGTTGCAACGAAATTATAGTTCAAGTATGTAATATTAAAATCAAATCAAATCAAATAAGCTTTATTGTCCAAAAAAAAACAGATACATTTTTATTGACAAAGTAAATACTTAACCTAACCTAACCTCCTAAAACATAAAATTACAGTACACAAGCTAAAATTGTCTTAAAAAAAATAAAAAAATAAAAATTTTTGAACCTTATTAAACAAACAAATCCACAATTCGTTCCAAAATCAGTAAAGTTTCGAAGTTTTCATAAGTACATTTACACCTAAAAAACCCAAATTCCACTCAAGTATTGCATAATGCATTTTCATCATAAAATTCACTTACACTATACAAGGCTTTGGTAGTTAAATGCTGTTTGACACACAAACGAAATGCTTTATAATTAGAGCATTCTTTAATTTGTTGCGGTAAATGATTGTACATTTTAATACTTTCATAAATAACTGAATTTTTCGTGAGTGTAAATTTAGGTATTGGTAAGGGTATTTTTGTTTTCTTGTTAAGAATGAATAATATTACATCAAATTAATAAGAAGGTAGTTACAATATATGAAACAGATATTTTGATACGTCAAATGTGTGTTAAAATCCATGGTTATAAAAAGTAAAATGAATTTCAGGATAGGTCCTACTAGAAATATACTGAAATGCAATTATAATATCCATAAATCGGATCAAATTATTAAAAAATACTAAAATTGATTCTACTTTTTAATGCGAAATCTGTATTCTTTTAAGAGTGAAGCTGTTGCCGACGCTTTGTATGATAGCAGATGGCATCTACTTAAAAAAGATGGAAAGCAAATGGTCCAGATAATGATAGCACGCGCTCAAAGACCATTAACTTTGACTATTGGAAACTTTGGACCTATGACAACTAATTCCGCCGTTTTGGTAAGAATTCTAAATTCGATATTCTATTTGAAACTATTTTAAACCAATTATTTTAGGTTGTGAAAGCTGCTTATTCATATGTGAGCGTATTCAATTGAAATATATGTCATCGAGACGAATATTCTTCTAATTAAGTTAAAATGCACAGACACTTTTGTAGCTTTAAATTGTCATCAGATTTATCAAATAGAAGCAAATTTTAACAAAAATTGCAATTACGGAGAGCACAATAGATTAAATATAATTGTCAGGATTTCATCGAGATGAAAAATCTCGTATTCAAGAGAATTTCTCATCTCGTTTCAATTATCGAGACAAGAAATCAATAAATTCTCATCACGATATATTTCTCGAAAAAAATCAATTCAATCAAAAACTGGGATGTAGTTGAAAAATATTGTGTATAGTGATGAGCAAGGCGAATATTACCAACATAATATTCCATAAGATACCTACCGTCATTTACGTAATATTACCAGTAATTTTTCAAGAAAAATTCTCGGGAATATTACTGTAGGAATTACCCTACTCGCGGACCCACCATACAACACATTCTGCACTATACCCATCCTTATCGGAGAAGTTCAAAATCTCTATTTTTGTTCAGTTGAACTTTAAAAAATTAATTAAAAGTGAAAACCATTTGCTTTATGTTTTATTTGTAAGATAATATCTACTGGAATAAATAAGATAAAAGCTTAAGGATAAAGCATTAGTAACAAAAATTCAAATATGTTCAATTTTTCAGGAACACCGAATATTACCGAATATTACGGAAAAGTACGTAATATTCGTCACAAGACATAAATTACCGAAATTTTCCGACACTAATTGTGTAGCATTGGTCTGCGGAAAGAGTAATTTTTCCGTACTAGTATGGAAAAAATTTTCCGCGTGTCGCATCGTGAATGAAGAACCTACGATATGAAAACAATGATGACTGCTAAATGTACAATTTTCTGCAAATTAAAAATTTAGCAAAAGCAAGTGTTAAACAAATGTTGCAGATTCTATTTTAGAAGAAGTAACCACTAATAGTAGAAGCTTTGGGGAGGACTCTGGATGGGCTATTCCATCACCATGATGTGCTTATCCGAGTTATCCGTCAATTTACATCGGCGCAGCGATAAAGTTACTATCTGTTGAAAATTGTACAAAACATTCATCATTAAAATTGTCAATAATAAATGAAAAATGTGGTTAATTGTTTATTGTTTAATATAGATTCATATTTGTTTTTATTTTAGTATTTTTCATTGTTTGCTCGTAGGAAAAATTGTGTGTCTAACACTTGCGGAACAACAATCGCGTGCGGAAAATGATATTTTCCGCACTTGTTAGGACAATAACTATTTCTACAATCTGACTGTTGAAAGCCTAACTTTTCACTACTTATTTAACTAATATTCAACATTTTCGAGATCTAATACATCTAGTGCACTTTTTCGATTAAATTACATACATTTAGGCCGAGTTAATGGCCGCCATGTTTAAATTTAGTTTTTGAAAATGACTACTGCGCCACTCTACACATACGGTTCAATATTTTATTTTTTGTCCAAAACAAAATTTGTTTGTCGGTGAAACACTAAGTGAAAGACAAAGACAAATATACAATTATGATGCTCCCAATGTAGCTTTTTTGCCGTGGCTAAAAGTACTTTTAGGCAGTAAAAGTACTTTTAGTGCCGCTCGTATTTTTACTGCCGCTTAACCATTTAGTTACCCCGAGCTTTCCGCATTCGTTTGGAGAAAAAATAGCGTGTTGCATACGGAGTAGAAGCACTTTTTTGTGCTTCAGCAGTATTGCAAGCCTCACTACGTTCGGCTCGCAAGTCTACTGCTTCACCACAAAAAAGTAAAGCTTCTACTCCTAATACAACAATATACTATTATGCCAAATTTGAGCCAATTCTGATGTGCCATTTTTTTTAAAGACCTTAAAACAAGTTTCGATAAATCAACCAATCAGAGCACTGCATTCTCATCGTTGTTGCGGCCTTAAAAAAATACATCTCTTTAGAAAATTATTCGCAGACATTGACATTGACATTGACATTGATTCATTATTTACAGAGTTCACACGGGACAATTTAATTTATTTGTTAATTCGATTGGAGGAAATAAACTTCTTTTTTTTCATATCGAGATGGATATGTCGTAGGCATTATGAAAATTCAGGCTTTTTATAAACATCCTAGGCATTTTACAAAAAGCCGGCAAAACGCGAGCATACAATACATTTTTCGTTATGCCGACACCAATTCAGGCAAATTAATAAAATGCCGGCAAAAAAAGAACAGAAAAGTATATTTCATGTTGTGACTTGATTATTTTTAGGCATTTTACAATTTGCCAAAAACGGTGTCGTCAAAACGTGAAAATAAAATCGATTATTCCAATCATGTGTTAGAAATCCCATAAGACAAGTGACGATTTTCAGAATTACAGCGAAAATTCTCTTTTCCATTTGTTTAACTAGAGAGAATACCTAAAGCAAGTCGATTTTTTTCAATTGAAAAGTACATTTTTAGGTAGGTACCTATTAGGTATTATCCGTTTGTCATTGGTTACCCTCCCCGAATTTGATGATTTTTTGTAGGAAGGTATAATTTTAAGCGCTAATCACGAATCTCCGTTTTTGTCGCTCGCGTTTTGTTTCCGAGATATCCATCATCAGGTCTATTATCTTTCATTTTCTCTGAAACTAACCAAAAGTATGCAAACTAACCCAAACTAATCCACGTAATGTCGGATTAAAATTGCAAACTAACCCAAACTAACCTGGTTATTATCGGTAATTTTGACAATATACTCCGAACATTTGGAGTAGTCCGAACAGTTAGAGTACTCGGAGTACTCCAACAATTAAAGTACTTGAACAATTGGAGTGACCGGAGTATCTCGAATAGTTGATGTACTCGGAGTACTCCCAACAGTTGGAGGTACTTTCAACAGTTGGCGTTCTTCGATCAGTAGTAGGACTGCTTCGATCAGTTAGAGTACTCCGATCAGTAGGAGTACTCCGAACAGTTACAGTACTCTAAACAGTAGGAGAACTCCGGTCAGTTGGCTCACTCCAAACAGTTGGAGTACTCCGAACAGTTGGCGTACTCCGAACAGTTGGGTTGGAGCACTCCGAACAGCTGTTATTGAACTGCCGCGTAGTAGAATGTGTGATAGATTTTCCTACCAGCGTGCGAGAAACACCCACGCATTTTTATTTTAGGCAGTTATCATTATCAAACTTACCGATAATAACCCAGTTAGTTTAGGTTAATTGGCAATTTTAAGCAGACATTATCAAACTTACTTATAATAGCCCGGTTAGTTTGGGTTAGTTTGCAATTTTAATCATACAAGTTATCCACTCCACTCCAGTATTAATCATAATGCCCGGACAATATGTGATGATACTTGCTGTAACTGTATTACACATTTATATTTAATAGTATTTTCGAATGTAATACCACAAGAGGTTTCAGGATTACCGAATAATACTTTTACCTGTCACGAAACGCGTTACGCAGCAACACCACGACTCCGAAGGAGGAGTGGTGTTGCTGGTAACGCGTTGAGTGTCAGGTAAAAGTATTAGGTAATTCTGAAACATCGAGTGGTATTCAAAAGGATATACAACGAACTAAACTTTAATACTCTAAAATTTAAAAAAAAATATATAATAGAATTTGCTATAAATGCCACCAAGCGCGATAATCCCAAAAGGCTTATCACTTTTTAAGCCTCTCGTGTCATATGGGAATAATGTACAGTGAGTTGTATAATCGGGGATAATACCACGAGAGCTTAAAAATTATCGAATGTAATACCACAAGAGGTTTCAGGATTACCGGATAATACTTTTACCTGTCACGAAACGCGTTACGCAGCAACACCACGACTCCGAAGGAGGAGTGGTGTTGCTGGTAACGCGTTGAGTGACAGGTAAAAGTATTAGGTAATCCTGAAACATCGAGTGGTATTCAAAAGGTTATACAACGAACTAAACTTTAATTCTTTTTCAATTAATAATTTCATGAATCAAAAATTTAAATTTTTTGTCAAAAAATGTCAAAACACCAGTTACCGTGCAAAAGGATTATCATTTATTAAGCCTCTCGTGTCATATGGGAAGGGTTATCACTTATTAATCCTCTCGTGTCATATGGGAATAACGTACAGTGAGTTGTATAATCAATAGTAATATAACTAGTGCAATGGAAATTATTGATAATTTTTGGGAAATTTGCCCGAATGCATTTTCAGTTAAAAACGCATGAGTGCAAATTTGTCGAAAATTATAAATATACTAGCTAATGACCCGCTGCGTTGCCAGCATGTAAATACATTTTGAAATAATACACTTCTTTTCAAATTTAGTTGTTGATTTTCTATTTAATTATTTTTTTTTAATCCGATATCATAGTCGCTTGCCAGTGAGTTCAGTGACGCACTTTAAGCACTCCAGAGATGCTCTAGAGCGCCCCGAGCTGTTTATAGGCGTTCCAGTGTATCAGAGTTTTACGCAACCGAACTTTTTTTTTCGGGATAAAAAATAGCCTATATCACTCTCTTCTATAGCTGATTCGATTGACCGGATTAGATCGATCTGGTTCAATTTAAGTGAACCACACTGTGTTCGATTCAAGCTGGATCAGTGCACCCTCATCAACAAAAAAATGATCTAGATCAGAAGAAGTTCACTTAAATTGAACCCAAATCGATCTAATCTGGGTCAATCAAATTCACCTTATATAGAGATACGTGGTATTAATTCAATATCGGTACAGCCGTTCTTGAATTCAAAAAATAATAAAGTTACGTCGGTTGAATACAAGCCTAAATAAATGAAATATGGCAACGTTGTTTCATGCTGTCAAAAAAAGTTGGGTTATGTTGTTATGTAATGTGAATGAGTTTGTTTACAATTAAATTAATAATTAATTCAAAATTAATTTCTTTTTCCGAGATGCGTAACCCATCCACAAACCTTCCTTGGGATGGCCATAACAACCTACCAAAGTTTCATCGTAATCGGATAAGTGGTTTTGGAGCGCATATCCGGATACCCCGTGAACTTTGATTTTTATATATATAGATTTCCATTGCACGAGTTGTATTTAATGAGAGAATTTCATAAATCAAAAATTTAAATTTTTTGTCAAAAAATGTCAAAACACCAGTTTTCGCACCAGCTACTATGCAATTATCTGATAATTTGCACTAGTGCAAATTATCGCGTAATTAGGTACAATCTGATTGGTTCAAATCAACAATCAAAACATGTCAATTTATTGTTGGAATACCAGTTTTGACAGATGTATGAAATTCTCTGGTTAATTTTAAAGCTCAAGTGGTACTTAGAGGATTATTTCACGTATGAGAATGCAAAAAATATGGAAATAAATATGTATTAAACGATTTGAACATCTTAACAATCAATTCAAATAAATGGTTGCTATCAGGAACCGTTTGTTTGTATCAAAAATTAGCATGACAACCATGTATACAATACCATGGGAGAATTATCGCTGTAATTCTCTCTAGTTAAACAAATGGAAAAGAGAATTTTCAATAGTAATATAACTAGTGCAATGGAAATTATTGATAATTTTTGGGAAATTTGCTCGAATGCATTTTTAGTGTGCACGAGTGCATTTTTCAGTTAAAAACGCATGAGTGCAAATTTGTCGAAAATTATAAATATATTTCCATTGCACGAGTTGTATTTAATGAGAGAATTTCATAAATCAAAAATTTGCTAGTGCAAATTATCGCGTAATTACAATCTGATTGGTTCAAATCAACAATCAAAACATGTCAATTTATTGTTGGAATACCAGTTTTCACAGATGTATGAAATTCTCGCTGTAATTCTGAAAATCGTCACTTGTCTTATGGGATTTCTAACACATGATTGGAATAATCGATTTTATTTTCACGTTTTGACGGCACAGTTTTTGGCAAATTGTAAAATGTCTAAAAATAATCAGTCATAACATATTCTTCTGTTCTTGTTTTGCCGGAATTTTATCAGTTTGCCTGAATTGGTGTTGGCATAACGAAAAATGAATTTTGTGCTCGCGTTTTGCCGGCTTTTTGTAAAATGCCTAGGCGAATTATAAAAAGCCCTGTATTATGCCTAGGACAGATACATTTAAAAAAAAAAATATATTGATTTCGAAAATATTTGAAAATTTTGCTCAATTTTGTCTCGAAATCGAGACGATACGACACGAGAAATCTCGGATTTCAAGAATTTCGTGCAAATCTAATGATATAGGTATGACCAAAAAAAAAATAGTATAGGTATCTATGTAATCACACAAAATAGAATTAGGTAAAGTTTCTGTATGAGTGGCATTGGAGTTTCATTGACTGCACAACTTTAACATTTGGTTAATTTTAACATATAAGCGTTTCACTGGGCAATCAAGGTAACAAAAATTAAAAGAAAAATATAGGTACCCATATTTTTTTTTTTTTTTTTTGTGGATTGAAGTTTCTATTTTTCTTCAAAAGATAACCTGAGGTTAAATTTAGCCGGAATTTTTAACCATGCATTAAATTCAAAGTTGGTGTCAAATAATGGTTTATGGAAAACTAAGACAAAAGTATGATGGGTTTTGCTCTGAAATTAACCGTTTAGGTTCTACAGACTGTCAAAGTTGCAAAAAAGTCAATTTTCAACTGTCCATATTTCCGAAACAGTTAAAAGATAGATATAGGACATGATACATGAAATATGTTCAGAATTTAACGTAGAATTTGAAAATGAAATAAAAAATTGGTGTTTTTATTTAAAAAAATAAAGTTAGCTGTCATAACTTGTTTTTGGGTCACCCTGTGTATATGGTATTATCATCAAAAAAACGGCAAATAAAATCAAAAATTGACGTGTCCGAGATTTTTTGAAAAATATCCACCCTGTATATTTTATAGATTTTATTCCTTTACGTGCTCACTGTATAGGGACTCCACTGATGCATGAGGTTGCCATGGAAACGGTTAAAAATTCAAACAAACAAAACGTATTCATCATTGTCGACTTTTTTTTTTTCGTGTCTAAACCCAGATTTTCTTATCCAGTACTAGTGAACTATTCAATTTATTTATTGATAAAATCTATCTCATATGACTCTGATAAAATGGAGTAAAGTTTAATGGCAGAGGTGCATGTTATCGGACAGGTAACTGAAGCAAAAGAATTTCCCAAACAGGAATTGTTTTGTAAATGGTATCTACAAGCTGGTAAGTAAAACCTAGCTAGATTATTCCTTCTAAACTGTCATATTTTTTTAATAAGCCCAAAAACTTCAAATAACAAATTATTGTAGGTAGGTAGGTACTTACTTCATTTGCAAATAGTATATAGACTTTTTATGTGGCTTTATTGGTCATATGTGTACCATATATTACAATACATTCTATGTTCTACAATGGCTTCTTTAACATCGCTGTATCTCTTTATTAAGGCATGGTTTATTCAACTTTAGATAAACTTGCTAATAACTATCTTCAAAATAAATTTACCGTTTTATAATTCTATTGGTCGGCGGATAACTGACCGACCAATGAGATTACAAATTACATTTCTATCCGTCAGATTGCATACCTGACAGTTTATCAGAACCGGCCCTAAAAGTCTGTTTCTGCCGAAATCACAAACCAATCAGAGTGAATTTCATTGGTTGAAACTAGTTTTCAACCAATGAAATTCGCTCTGACTGGTTTGTGATTTCTGCAGAAACAGACCTTAAGACTCTTGATAATGCGGTGTAATTGCCAGGCCCTATATCCAGCTACAATCTCATTAATATAGTATCAGAGGGCACTACAAGCACTATTATTAAAAATTTCAATTATTATGGTAAAGAGAAGTTGTGGGTTTGGTTTGGGACGAAGTGGAATAAAACTTCCCTATTCACGAATTCGCCGACGTTTCGACCATTTGTTCAGGTCTTATCAAGGCACTTTATATAACAGAAGTTAAAGCCTTTTGACTTGAAAAGTAGAATTTCAATTGTTCATAATTTACTTCCAAGTCATTTACAAAATTATAATATCATCCAAATTTTAGCTAATTATGATTTTTTCACTTGTATAATACGAATCTTTGTTCAAATAATTGGCGGAGTTCTACATATAAATCAATTTTTTTATTGCATTTTAATTAATATAACAGTAACATATTCAAAACCAGAAAATGGTCTAAATTGTTTCAAAATGTGTTTCCTTGTAGCTTTTTCCAATAAAATATCAATAGAAACTGTTTATAATTGGGTGCAAAATTGTTTTTCAACTCACTTTTTCATAATTTTTTAATTTTTCCCAATCAAAATGAATTCAAATTTGAGCAAATAGTCACACTTGAACACGTAGGTACCTATTTTTCTGTGGCATTTCAACGACATTTCCTGGAGTAAATTGTTAGATAAATCGACAAGTTTTTCATCATCAAATTCCAAGTTCTTTTGAAATATGACATTTTTTCATAATTGAGGAAAAGTAAACTGTATCAATATCCTTATTGCATTCTACCTACCTCATTGGCTATTTGAAGCTCGTCACAATTTGCTTCTTGGGCCTAATTTTTGAATAACTTCGCGAACGAAAATTATTATGATTTCCAATGTTTCCTATTAATCAATTTACATTGCTGTCATTCAAATTTGAATCAACTCACCTTGCGTATCGAAAGTAGGTCTATATTTTTAACTCAGTGCATTTTAACAACAATTTTGATTTCTTCTAATTGCAATAGTTTAGAAAATTTTCAGTAAACATTAAATAACTTATTTCAGGTAAAAACTGGAAAGTGATAGAAGGCAAACAGGAAGGCCAAACTCAAGTCTCCTCTTCACAATTCACCGAAACTTGCAATTGGTCTTATCCAATCGATATTCACTTGGCTACTGCTGGAATCCAAGGTAAATGATGCATTCAAAACAATAATCAGAAGATTAGTCAATTTTTTGCATTTGAGCTTATTTTCTGGAGTCGAAGTTTGTAAATCTACTTACTTTCACGCCCAAATTTAGGCAATCAACTATTTTTGCTGATTCTTCTTTAATGCGATTTCTGTTCAAAGAATTGACCAAATATTGATGTTTCATTGAGTGACCAAACCTGGGAAAATAATAAAACTAATAATTCCAGGTTGGCCCAAAATCTACCTGGAAGTTTACCACTTGGACTGGTTCAATAGAGCCCATCTGTTCGGCTACGGACTGGTAACAATTCCGACCAGTCCAGGACGACATACTTTGGACTGTTACACTTGGAGGCCGATAGGAACGCTCAGAGACCGATTTGTCCAGTACTTTTTGGGCGGTGGCTCTCAACTTAAATATCCCGATTTGATTTTTTCTCCCGAAAAACGGTACAGGTTATCCACCGAGGCTATGGGAGTGGTGACGTTCGAGTTGGAATTGGTTTTCAGGAATTTCAACAACTACGGAGTAGAATATTAGACATTTTAGGAAATTTACTCAAGGTGACTATTTAAATATTATATTGAGGAAGCTTGTGGCATTAATAAAACAACTCTTTCTTCAGTGCATTTCAAATAAACTCTTAATATTCTAAGTATTGAATCATTTCCAGAACGATGTGGACCAAAATAATCATCATAACACTGATTTGTGCCATGGAATCATCTACAAAGAAACCAACTAAACCGTCAACTACCTTATCAACAACAGAGAATATCGATTTTAGCACCTTATCAACAACGATCGAACCTCCAAATATCAGTACATTGGCCAGTTGTGATAGTAGTAATAGCACTGATAATTCTGATAATTGTACGCAATCAATTAATGCAACGGCACAAATTGATACAAATTCAAATAGTACAAAAAATAGTAATGCTACTAAGAAGAATGATCATAAGAAATATAATAAGGAAATTAGTATTTGCGCTTGCAATTTACAGGTAAGTGAATTATTTTGCATTATCAAAATATCACTTTAAGAAACCATTATGGTTGCATTAGCTTACTGTGTCTGAGTTTTGGGAGAGTTTGCCAGTGAGTTTGATGTTGTCTATATATCCACTGGTTTATTTTTGTTCTAACCGAAGATTTTATGGTGCTAATTCCCGGTTCAGGATCAATATAACTGGTTGCTGATCCTTCTCGTGCCAGCGCATCTGCTTTTTCATTTCCTTCAATTCCTTTATGCCCTGGCATGCATTTAAGGGTTACATTGTTGACGATACTTAGGTTTTTAAGGTTTTTCAAGCATTCCAAGATAAGTTTGGATTTTATTCCGAGACTGTTAAGTGCTTTAATCGACTCTTGACTATGCAGATACGGTCACCGATGTATCCCCTCCTTAACCTTAACCTTAACCTTAACCTTAACCTTAACCTTAACCTTAACCTTAACCTTAACCTTAACCTTAACCTTAACCTTAGCCTTAACCTTAACCTTAACCTTAACCTTAACCTTAACCTTAACCTTAACCAACCCACTAAAAAAAACTTTAAGTCAAGAGAAATCGAATGGTGCAAACCGCAGGTAGCTAGCACACCTGGTTCAAAAGTTATAAGCATTTAAAATGGGTCACTCTCGGCTGAGACACCATGTGTTAACTAATTAAAGTTTTGACTTTTTTAGGGCGATATTTGCGATATGAATTGTTGCTGCGACCCTGACTGCTCCGTCACAGAAAAATCCGTGTTCAAATATTGCAAAATTGACGAAAATAGATATTTTGACGATAGATATTGTAATTACATTGAGCAAATTTACGTCAACAATACAATTTTTGAATGGGAAGTAAATCAAGACGGTCTATTTTGTGCAATTAGTAACAATTTGCCTAAACTGAATTTAATCCAAAACGAAAAGGTAGGTACCTAATAATTGTGAAAGTATTTTATTAAATTTAATATTAATTAAAGTGGGTACCTACTTATATCCACCTGGCTATTAAAAATAAAAACTCCACACTTTGCTTCGATTTTAATAGTGATTAAAACTCAAATCTATCTCCATATAATTTCCGAAGTTTGACTCCATACAATTTTTTCTACAGGAAAATATGTTTTGAATTTTTTTTTCAATTTCCTATACATTTTTCTTCTTTTTAAATTTAGAAGGGTATTTATCTTATTATTTTTGTTTGAACGATTGAATTACAATTTCTTGACTTAAATTCTGACTACCTTGTTGCTCTAATTTTTTTTTTATTTCTTATCTATTTACTTCTTTTTATGTGTTTATTAAAATTTTGGATGGTTCTTATGCCTCCCGTAGATACTATGATGTAGTACAAAGTTTTTACACATAGATTATTGTATAAGCCCAAGAGAGCTTTATCTCTGAAGTAGGTAATAATATGATATGTACAAAGTTTCTACACATAGATTACTGTATCACAAAAGCCCTAGAGAGCTTTATCTCTAAAGTAGGTAATACTATAATGTGGTATGAGTTACTGCATATAGATTACTGTATCAATTTTAAAATATTACAGAATTTTATTTTATTTTTTACCGAATTTTCTGTGCAGCTTTTATCTCTAGTTTTTTTTTTTTTAATACAGTTAAATTTTTTGTACATTGGAAAATGTACTGACGCCCAAACTATCTTTTCCTTTCATTTTTTTTTAATAAACGTAGAACCAAATGACCGACAGTTTCTATATTGTTAATTGTTAACATTTTCAGTAACATAATTTTATCTGAGACACACTTAAGTTCCTTATTTGCTTCAATACACAATGAAACATCACTGAAAGGAAATATTTATATATATTTTTTTTTTCTTTTTTTTTTTAACGAAGTAAAGGGGGTGTGATACGATAAACTTATCATTTACGTAAGATGTTCCATCTTTTCCTATTTTCATTATTCTAGTGGATTTTTTTCCATTCTATTTTATTCCATGCGGTCTTTCATTGTGTTTTCATTTTGAAGTGAATATGGTCTTTTGGGTGTACTCATCTGATTGGTTGAAGCTGGTTGGAATGCAGTTAAGTATAAAAAATACGGGATCGTTTTCTTGCTGGCTTTGGTTGCAGTCTGGCAGAAGAGTCTTCTTTATTTTTAAATAATTTTTGCTTTGAATCTCTGGATCCTCCCTTGTAGATTTTTCAATATTCATATTATCATATCTTTATTAAGTTTTTATCTGATAAATTTTATCTTAACTGTTTTTGAAATATAAATATTATATTTTAAGCTTTTCTATCTAATTGTTGGCTTCCATTTTGTGTGATTGCTTTTCAGCTACTGCCACGTTTCTTTTAAGAGGTAAGTCAACACAGATTTTTGGATTTTGGTACTGTTGCTCTGGTTTTCAGAATCAATTTTTAGTGTGGGAATATTGGACCATTTGCTCTAAATAGAGTCGGTGAGAACCAAATTTGTGAGTCCATCCCCATTAACTCTTCATTGAATCCAGGCAGAGGCCTGAACAACCATTTTCTGTTTGACTCCCTAAATTATTATCTCAACTAAAGGGTGTAATTTTTTAATAGAAATCCAGACAGGTCAAAAATTTAGTTCAAAAGTTTTAATTAAAACATCTCAAGAATTTTGACACATTCTGGATTTGATTAATTTCAACCCCAGGTTCATCCAGTATCTGTGGTAGCTACCTTAATTCGAGAGGAAAATTTTGTCTATTTAGGGGAGAATCCAGAGATTTAATTTCTTTTTATTGTTTTATGTACTTTATTTTTGCTCATATTTTTGCTCGTACTTTTGCCTGCCAGAACTGCTATCAGGAAAACAGCATTTTTGCTCAATTATAACGAGCATTATAATCATTATAGTTTAATCTTGTTATTATTTTATTTTATCCTATTTTGACTTTTAAACATGACATTATTGAACGCATAACAATAAAGGTAAGTAGACGTTTATCACGTCAGTGATTTAAAAACATTATAACTCACTCTCGGCATTTTTCCTTGTACTTTATTTTATAAATTTCAACAAAATGGGATAAAATTTTGTATACATCACGTGAGTTAATATGTTTATTCATTCGAAGAAAATTAACCCACTCGCTAGGGCTCATGAATAAATATTCATTTAACTCACTTGGTGTATAAATAACTATAACTACTATCTTATCATTGTTCGTAACTATTTAATTTTTTTTTAATTAAAATATTATAATTTTTTTTAAATTCCTGAATTCTGTCAAAAAGTGAGTGTCTTGCAAAAGAAATTGAAGTTGAAATTTAGTATAAAATGATTGTTATACAGACACTCCCTTCCAGGTATGAAAAACTATTACAAGTAAAAAAAAAATTAATAAACCTTTAATTAAAAAAAAATTAAATAATTAAGAATACTGATAGGATAATAGTTGAATAAAATAATAACAAGATTAAACTATAATGATTATAATGCTCGTTATAATTGAGCAAAAATGCTGCTTTCCTGATAGCAGTTCTGGCAGGCAAAAGTACGAGCAAAAATATGAGCAAAAATAAGGCACATAAAACAATAAAAAGAAATTAAATCTCTGGATTCTCCCCTAAATAGACAAAATTTTCCTCTCGAATTAAGGTAGCTACCACAGATACTAGATAAACCTAGGGTTGAAATTAATCAAATCCAGAATGTGTCAAAATTCTTGAGATGTTTTAATTAAAACTTTTCAACTGAATTTTTGACCTGTCTGGATTTCTATTAAAAAATAACACCTTTTAGTTGAGATAATAATTTAGGGAGTCAAACAGAAAATGGTTGTTCAGGCCTCTGCCTGGATTCAATAAAGAGTTAATGGGGATGGACTCACAAATTTAGTTCTCACCGATTCTATTTAGAGCAAATGGTCCAATATTCCCACACTAAAAATTGATTCTGAAAACCAGAGCAACAGTACTTATTTAAAATCCAAAAATTTGTGTTGACTTACCTCTTAAAAGAAACGTGGCAGAACCTAAAAAAGCAATCACACAAAATGGAAGCCAACAATTAGATAGAAAAACTTAAAATTTTAATACTTATATTTCAAAAACAGATAAGATAAGATTTATCAGATAAAAACTTAATAAAGATATGATTATATGAATATTGAAAAATCTACAAGGGAGCATCCAGAAATTCAAAGCAAAAATTATTAAAAAATAAAGAGGACTCGCCTGTCAGACTGCAACCAAAGCCAGCAAGAAAACGATCCCGTGTTTTTTTTAGACTTAACTGCATTCCAACCAGCGTCAACCAATCAGACGAGTACACCCAAAAGACCATATTCATTTCAAAATGAAAACACAATGAAAGACCGCATATAATAAAAGAGAATGGATAAAAATCCACTAGAATAATGAAAATAAGAAGATATGGAACATGTTACGTAAATGATAAATTTATCGTAACAACTTTCCAAGTTGTAGATTTTCTCCCATAGTCGTCAATCTATAAGGAATTCATCTACTTATTATTTTAGCCATTTAGTTCACTGGAAGAACACCGACCGAAGGTTCATTTTTGGAAAAACCATCATAATAATCAACAGGAATATTCAAAGAAACTTAAAAACTACAAGTTTGGAGATCCAATAATGATAGTTAATAACGATTCTACAATTAATATAATGAGTTGAGAATTTTTTTTTATTACCTAGCTTCTTACAAATACCTATAACCAACCAATTTTTTTTTTAGCCATTCCTAAAAACTTTCTAATTGACACTTGTGTACTCAAAGAAGATGTTTTGTACCTGAAAAATGACGAGGGCACTTGTAGTCAGTTCAACATAGACGAAAATAATGCTATGCTGTCGTTTGCCACGTATTTTCAAGATTTCAAAGTAATCATTGAACCACAATTGGTAAACTTGACAAAATGGAAACTGGATTTTTATATGGTAAATTGGCTAAACTGGGATTTTTCTGGTTATTGTCCAGTAATTCTCAGGAAGTTTACCTACAATTTCAAATAAAAACGATTACCTACTTTTTTCTTTTCAGAATTGCCCAAAGAACATCTGCATCGAAATAGAACCAAAACTTTGCGACATTCATTTAACTAAATGCTCTCGACTGGAACCAAACACAAACATTAAATTTCAATGCTCTTTCAATTTAACAAACAACTTAAACAACTGCCAAAACGCCATAAGAAAAATCTATTACAAATTTTACCATAACGCCACTCATTTACATAGAATTGAAGTTTTGGGCGCTTTAAGTAATTTCAGTTATCACTCCGGCAGCGGTTATCAATTTTCTCAAGACTTTTTGATGGAATTTTTATGGATAAATCACACTAAGCATAACTATTCGAAAATATTTAGTGGAAATCCGGGCTATATTTTTGGAAAACCCATTCTAAAAGGAATAAAATTGTTTAATGGAACTATGCAAAGAAACTCTAGTGAGTTTATAGACAATTTTTTGGTTGTTCCCAAAAATATTGATGGAACATGTGTTAAGAATCAGACGTTTTATACTCCAATAGAGTTTGGTTATAATCTAATAACAAAATGCTCAATTACAATTGGGAAAAGTTTAAAAAACATAAAAAATAATGCATCAGAAATATGCAAAGATATTCAAAAGAATGTTATATTTGATTTATGGAATATTCCAACTCAGAAAAATCACTCTTTAATATTTGGTACTTTTGGTAACGCTTTGCCAGATAATTGGAATGAAGTTTCCTATGAAATGAAACCTAATTTACTCCTTAATAATATACAGGGTAAATTTTTGAATAATAAAAATACCACTTTAGTTTGTTACAATTTATCTAGATTAATTGATATAGAAATATTTTATTCTAGACTAGATTTAAAGAGCGTTTTGAACCAAAATAAGATTTTAGGAGTGAATTTTGGTTTTAACGATTATTTTAATCAGACTTTTGATGTTTTGTGCAAAAATTTATTACTAGAAGTGACTAGCCGAGTCAGTTTTTACGATTTTACTAGAAAAAAAGTGAAAAAGTTTGTCGATGCTCCTAATTTTGAAGTACGGTTGCCACATGACTTTTTCTATCCATTTATTAAGGTTGGTAATACTGGAGGAATGTTTATATTGCCAAATTATGCACTTTTTGTAACTACTGTAATAATTGTAGTTTATTTAGTTTAAATATATTGTATTTAAATATTAATTGGGTAGTTGTTTCATTTTATACATTTTTCTTACTGTTTTCCGTTAGGAATACGGATAAATAATGATTTAGAACGCCCTAACTTCATAGTAGAAGTCGGAATGTTAGGATATAGTGCTGCGAAAAAAAAAATTAAAAATGATAACATTTCCTTCCCTTTCCTTAGCGGGATTGTATTTCTTAAACTATATTCAAATTCAAATGATCTGATATTTTTAGAATACAGTTGTATATTTTGTTGCGTTGCAGGCCATTGGCTGTTTTTCGTTGTGGGCGGAGCTTGTTGAGGGCATCGGCCAAACATATAAAAAGAGCCATTTTCAGGCCAAAGCAGTCAGTTCTTCTCAGACAGTGATCGAGTCTTCAACTCACCTGCCTGCCCCGTTTTCCACGTTGGAGACAAGGACAGCTCTCACCTCCCTTGTACAACAGTAATACTGTGACATGTACCCGGTATTCAGGACCGCGTATTAGGCTGGTAACACAGTGGAGTGGGTCCCCTCACTATCGGGATCAATTTAGTTGGCCAGTGGACGAGCCCCACATTGTGTTATTGGTGCGAGCTACCTACAGGTACGAAGAATGAAAAGAGAGAGCCCATGTTATAACCCCCTCGGGCGCGAAATAAAGCTTCCAGACAAACCTAGTTCGTCGCAAAAAAACCTGCATCAATCTTCGTACTGGAGGTTGATGTCCTAGGGGAGTACTTCAATCAACTCACCACCAATACCCGACGAAGTCCTTTTCAGGATAACTGTCTGGAACAAAAAAAAAAAATTCGTTTGATTTCTGGTTCTTAATTAAGCCCCGCGTTTCTAATTCGGCACATTCGTGCAGCATTCCGTCTAGGAAAACCTAAACTCCTCCTCCACGTTTGTCATTACTATTTTTTGGATACCTTCTTCAAAGGTTTCCGGCCCACCGTGACCGTCGTCGACGATTTTCCTGAATTTTTATGAAAATTCACTTTTCTTCTACAAGCTCCACGTCGAATTAAAACTCTTAAATCAAATAATCACTTTCTCCTTCCAAAGGCTCACCAAGTTGGGACAGAATTTGAAAAAGACAGAAGTCTAAATTATCCAAGCTTGAATTTTTCTTGAAGCTTTTTTAGGAAAAATCTCAATTTCAATTTAACTCAAAGCGAGACAGCTTCGCCGAGTTAGGACAGAGTTTTTGAAAAAGACAATAAGTCGAAATTTACGTACTGGGTCAACGGTTTCAACTTGTGTCTAAGGTGTAAACTTATCGGCTAGTTTTTGACGTGAATGCTTTTTAATGTATATTTTTTGTTCTGGGTGGAATAATGTTGGTTTATCGGAAGTTTCATTAATCTTTCCTATAATTTATAACTTTTTCATTGATGCTTGAATATAAGAGTTTAGACTTATTTTTATGTTCTGTGACATAATCTGTCAATAAAAGTTGGTCTAATGTGTCCTGAAATAACATCTATTGGCTTGAATTTAGTCACCGAATGAATGGTGTGATTATGTCCTAGGATTGCATAATATTTCATTTTTTGGCTGATAGGTGTCTTCAGGAAGACACGATTATTTAGAATTCTTACGTGTTCGGATAAAGTGGAGTGTGGTCTTTCGATAACACCGTTAGACTAGGGGTGCTCGGGCGAGCAAAAATGAATTTTTATTTTATGAAGTTGTAATAGTTTTGTGACCACTGTATTTTTAAATTCAGTTTCGTTGTCTAAAATGATTTTGTATGGAACACCGTGATGTGAACAGAACGATATTAAATTATCGCTAATTTCGGTGGCTGCCAATGAATTTAGGGCGTAAGCTTATGTGTACTTGGAAAAACTGTCAATGATTGTGAGAAATTTAACTTTATCTAATGTATATGTGTCAAGGTGAATAGTTTCGAAAGGTTTGGTTGCCGTGGGTGTAATATTCATTTCCATGTTTAGTGGGTATTTACTTTGTTGGCATATTTCGCATCTATTCATGTACGACTGAATAGACTCTTTAAGATTTGGCCAGTAATACTTTTCTTTAATACGCATTTCGGTTTCCTCGATTCCGCGATGGTTCGTCTTACTCTCATGGTAGTTCTGTATTATTTCCGGTATACTTTGTTTGTCTACTATGTCGATTAATTTTTTCAAACATCTTTTAATTCTTACCCAGGGCCATTTAAAATTTTTCCTAACCACTTCGCAGAATGGTTCATATGTATCCGGGTTCTCGAAATAAGCATAGTATAATTTACCTGGCACAACGTTTTCTTTTATAAAATTAATTGTATCATTTTCAAAATTATTTTCTGATATTTGAACTAAAAATCTTCTCTTCTTTTCAAATAAAATTAGTTTTGTTTTGGCAGGTGAGTGCATGACCTTTGTGACGATTATTTGATTTGCTCTATAGTTAACAGCAGATTCTTTAATTGGAATTCCAACAATAGGGTCTTGTTCCGCATTAGTATAGATAGTTTCGTCATCGTCTTCAACTGTTGCTTCGAGGTCAGGTTGCGCCATAGTTGATATTTGGTCTAGGTTCTCAATCTCTTTGCTGGTCGTTGGATTATTCTTCCTCTAATTCTTTATTGAATTCTTCAATATATGATACTAGATTCGATATATTGTCGGTTTCTTTAGTGTATAATTCAATACGGCTTAGGGCGTCTGCATTTGTATTGAGTTTACCTTTTTTATAAATAATTTGGTAATCAAACTCTTGTAGTTTGATTCGCCAACGTACCATTTTCGATGTGGGGACTTCATAATTGAAAAGCCATTGCAAGGGCTTATGGTCCGTTATGATATTGAATTTTTGTCCATAAAGGTAGGGTCGGAAGTACTTCGTCGCCCAGATAAGACACAGGCACTCCTTTTCAATAGTGGAATAATTTTGTTCTGAATCATTCAAGGTGCGAGATGCGTAGGCTATGGGCAAATCTTGTCCAATAGGCCCTTGTGATAACACAGCACCTAGGGCTACGTTACTAGCATCACATTCGAAAAATCTGGGTATTGTAGTATAGGTTCATTTACAAGTAATTTTTTACAATTTTCAAAACATTCGATAAATTCTTGGTTGTGTTCAATCTTTGCAGCATTTCGTGAGGGGTTTTGTGATTTTTGCAAAATTATCTATAAAACGTCTATAATATCCGAGTAGTCCGAGAAAGCCTTTGATTTGTTTTGTTGTTTTTGGAATTGGGTAATTTTTAATGGCTTTGATTTTGTCTAAATTTGTTCGTACTCCTTCTGGTGTCACTCACTATATGGCCTAAATATGCTACTTCTCATCTGAGGAATTCACTTATCCAATTGAATTTTGAAATTGGTTTCACGTAGTCTTTGGAAAACCAATTTGAGTCGTTCTAAGTGCTTTTGTAGTGACGTGGAAAATATAATAATGTCGTCGAGGTATACGAGACATTTTTTGTTCTGGATTCCCTGTAATATACTGTTCATGGTCCTTTGGAACGTGGCGGGGGCGTTCTTCAGCCCAAATGGCATACGTAGAAATTCGTAATGGCCATTCTCCGTATTGAATGCGGTTTTCTGTATGTCGCTCTTATTCATCTGTATTTGATGAAATCCGCTGACCAAGTCCAATGTAGTAAAATATTGACATTTTCCTAATTTGTCTGATAAGTCGGTTATATTCGGTAGGGGGTATCTGTCTGTTATAGTTTTTGCATTAAAGCTACGAAAATCTACTACTACTCTCCATTTCTGCTCTCCAGAAGCATCCGCTTTCTTTGGGACCACCCAAATTGGCGATGACCAGGGAGAGTTGCTTGGGCGAATGATTTTTTGGTCTAACATTTTTTTCATTTGTGATTCGACTTCCTTTTTATGTATAAAAGGGTTCTACTATATACCGGTTGTCCATCAGTGGTTTTAATTGAATGTCTTATTTCACTTGTAAATGTCAGTGGCATGTTTTTTTTTCTTCTGCATTCAGATGATTGGTGCGAATTTGAGAACAGTCAAAATTGGGTTTGTATTCAAGTGAGTCTTCGAAATTATTTAGATTTATTTTTTCCAATTTTTCTCGATTAAATGGTTCTACCTTAAATGGTTGGGAAATATCAAGGGTTATTGGTTTGCAAGTGTTATTCAAAATGCTAGTGATAGCATAACCATTTTTTGCGATACTCAGCGAGTTTGGAATTTCGCAGTTATGTATCCTCTCTGGTAGGGTATAATAACCTCGCCGTCTTGTATATCAGTTTTAATTTTCACAAGTTGTTCAACTCGAGGAGAAACAGTAACATTATATATATATATTTTTTTTTTCTGCTTTCTTGTCAGAAACCACCACTGTGGTTTGTCGACAAAGCCTCGAACATCACACACAAACCAAATCAAACAAACAAACAAACATCCATGCACCTAGCCGGGATTCGAACCCGAGACCCACTGCATGCAAAGCGAAGACACAACCGCTGAGCTGCTTGGGTCTGCAATATATTGATATGTCAGTTTTATGGAACTGCAACTTAATTCTTGCATGTGGAGTTACTAGAAATGCTGTATCAAAATTAATGTTGGCTTGCAAGTTTTTAAGATTATCAAGCCCTAATAAAGCATCGTATATGTTGTGAAATTTAAATAGGTAGAATTTTAGAGGTTCATTATGTGGTAAATTAAAGATTTTAGATGCGGGTATTTGAGCACTGTACTTATGTGCTGATTGTTGAAAAACGGTGGAGACAATAAATGGGTCATCAAATATATTATCCGGGTATAATTTTTGAGTTAGTTCAGGATTTATAAATGATCTAGTGGAACCGCTATCTATTAAAATTTTTAAATTGTGTTCTGCGAATGTAATGTATGGCAGCTTGCTTGTAGAAGCATTATTCAACGATATTATTTGCGTTATCGTAAGAGTAACCAGTTGCATAATTGTCCTCAGCATACTCAGCATATTGGAAGTTATAATAATTATACTCGGAATCATATAGTTGGTCAAAATTAGATGAATCGTAGTATAGAGATTCTGGGTCCCTTTCGTTAATGTCAACATGAGGTTCGTTAACGTCGTCAACTACTTTCGTATTATATAGCTCTTCAGCTATGAAATTACTTGGTTGGTTGGTCTGGAAATAATTTCTAGAAGGTTGTTGAACATTGGCATTGAAGGTTTGCCTCGAAGTTGTTGACATAGGAGTAGGTTTTGGCAAAGTTCTATTTTGATTGGGTTTAAATACATTTGTTGAGTTTGTGTTGGATTTATTTTTGAATACTTGGGAATTGGTAGGGAATCTTTGTGGGATTTTGTTAAAATTTGGTTTCACAGCAATAGGCTGAGATGAAAAAGTTGGCTTAGCCGTAAATAAATTGTTAGATGTTTGGCTATTAAATCCCGGGTTAAAATGTGTGTTTGTTTTATTGTGTTGTATGGTTTTTTGTGTATGAGGTTTAGAAAAATTCTGAAAATATTGAGTGTTATACTCATCATTAACAAATTGTAGAGCTTGCGGAAGGTCTCGTGGACGCATGCAACGAATTGTCGTGCCTAATGGTTCCCTTAGGCCCGATAAGAATGTTTTTAAAGCTAAATCATTGTATAAATTACGTTTCAGCAATTTTGCAGCGTCATTTGTTTCATGAATATCCACGTAGGAACATAAAAGATTTAAAATATGTAAAATACGATCGTAATATTGGCTGGGTTTTTCAGCATTTTGTTGCCTAAGCATTACTAAATCGTGATTTAAACAAGCTTCATCGCGCTGGTCAGCAAAATGCCTGCTCAAAATAGTTTTAAGTTGGTCCCAAGTTGTTACATTTTGGATTCTCAAAACTAATCTTGCGTTACCAGTAAATTTACCGATTATCGAGTTCAGCAAGTGAATGTTCTGAAAACTATCTGGTTGAGCAGCGTTATAGAAAGCATCAATGAGGCTTTGACATACTTACTGATAAATATATGTTCAAATCATTCGGATTTCCGTCGAATTGTGGTACACAACTAAGGTACTCTGGCTTGAAATGAGCCATATTGTTAGAGTTTAAATTCGGAACAATGCAAATGTTTTGATTATCAAAAGATGTGCTTTCGGCACCGTTACTTCCAGAAAATGTTTGATTAATTATTTTAATTAAATCTTCCGAATCAGAAGATTAGTCAGTTGAAGGCGGTAATGATAAATTATTCAATTTTTCAATTATTTCATCTACGTCAGATATAAGTTAAATTGCACTTACAGACTAAATAAGAAGAATTTCATTGCTATAAGTCCCAGAGGTTTGGTTGGCGATATGGTGCTTCCAAATGGTTCTTGGTCTTTGTGAGATTTGGACAATTTGGTTCCAAACTCCGATTACTTCGAGGTAACAGGTTCATGATGAACTGGGTGTTTCGATATCTAGAAAGCCATCACTCTGACACCTCACAGTAAACAATTAACGTAGGTCCGTTTTTTTCCGGTTAGTCCGAATACCGAAGAACCTATAAACAGTCCCGAAAAAACACGTCCTGTCGACTGCGCCAGTTAACAAGTTAGCAACCGAGGGTTGGTTTTTAAAAAAATTTACTTTATTAACTGTTCGAAATTATTACTAGCTAAAGCACGTTACAATAAAAATTATAAGTATAATAAATTTCAACTGACTAACTATCCTAAGAAAATACATATATTTATAATAAGCTGATAAGCAGAATAAGCATTTCAAATGAGGACTCAGCAAATAGACGTGATATAACTCGTGAAAAAACTCTAGCAATAATTCTACCAACATTCGAAATTAAAGGTTTGGATCCTCAATGTCCTCCTAGGTCTCCAAACCTCATACTATTGGAATATTTAGTTCATGAGTGAGGTCCACAATGTTGGAATAGGCAAGTACTGAACAGGATTTGTTTCACAAAAAAAAAAAATATAGATACATTGTTTGACAAAAAAAAACTCTCGGCGAGAAATTCTCTTCCAGACGAGATTTCTCATCTCAATGAAATCCTAAATATTATACCTAACCTATTTGTGCTCTCTGTTATTGCTATTTTTGATAAAATTTGCTTCTATTTGATAATAATTCTAATGACCTGACCGAAAAGAGTGGATTTCTACGGAAATTTCAATTTAAAAGAAAAATATTTGTCCAATATACAATGTATTTCAACTGAATAGGCTCACATACGAATAAGCAGCTTTCACAATCTAAAATAATGTTCTCTTAATAGTTTTAAATAGAATATTGAAATTAAAATATTTACCAAAACTGAGGAATCATTTGTCATTGGGCCAAAATCTCCAATAGTTAAAGTTAATGGTCTTTGAGCACGAGCTATCATTATTTGTACCAATTGCTTTCCCTCTTTATTAAGTAAATGCCATCTGCTATCATATAAAGCGTCTGCAACAGTTTCACTCTTAAAACAAAATAGAGATTATACATTGATTGAGTCGATACTTGAAATGTAAAGTTGATTTTACTTTCACTAGATTTATTAACTGTAGCTGTGGCTTCATATAGTTTGATCGATGTACAGTGTGTCCCAAATTAACTTGGAACATACTGCTATTCACTTTGCCAGATTTGATACGTTATCCTGTTTTACTAATTTGTCTTATTCAATATTTCTATTCCATTAATGTACTGATAAGAAAACAAAAATTTTACATACTTGAACTTTAACTTCGTTGCAACTCCAGCCTAATATAAATACTTGAGCGCATAGTTGTATTACAAAAGATAATCGCCATACTATTTCTGATAGTGATAATTCCATCTAGAATAAAATGATAACATAATAATACATAAATAATTTTATTAATTTATTCATTTAATTAAGGTGCCTCCAGTATACAAAAAAAATTATAGAAGAAATATAATTTTGTATTTTTTTTTTGTTTTCTGCAATTCGAGTAAAACTATTTCATCTGAAAAACTTCTAGACTCATCGCTTGATGATGATGAAGAGCTCACAATTCTTTTAACTAGAATTATATTTTTCGTTCAGTAAATCTTGTAATGAAAATTTTATGAAGCGTAAACAATAATACATCCAACACTGTTGCCAGCTTCTATATGAGCTAAATGAGCTACATTAGCTATGTAGCCACCCATTATTTTTCTTACTGAGTACTTACTTTTATTATATTAAGAGATACTGACGCTATATTCAGCGAATTCAAACAATATTCCATGAGTATGATATATTTTGTACAATCATTTAAATGTTCAACAAATCTGAAAACAAAATTTCAATAGGTACTTATAATGCCACATTTTTTTTCTCACTTTTACCCGATAATATACTTATGATCCTCAATTAAGTTTTTTAAAACAGATATTTTCTCATTGTATTGTGCATCGCTAACATCGGCAATAAAATCATCAGGTCCTATAAAGTTTTTAAGTTTCACTTGCAAAATTTCCAACTGTGATGCAGAATAGGTTAGTAATGTTAAAAAAACCACGTGAGTCATGGTACCAAAATTATAGCCAACCCATGACCATATTGCCTGCAAGCCAAATGTTATATACAGGTTACTAAGTCTGTCTCTTGGAAATAAAGTTAAGTACATAAAGTTTGGCTCGATGGTCTGATTATTTATTAAGTTCTGGTGTTTCAATTCGACCATGGCAAATGCACCTAAAGGACAAAATACTTAAATTACAATGAAATAAGTTTCTATAGATAACGCACCTGATATTTGAAAATAGCTAAATCCACCTGCTAAAAATCCACCTATAATCAGCACATAAGCTTTGCAAACGCGAATTTTAACTCGATAGACATTATGGATTTCTTCACTTGTTGAGCCCCATACTTCCTTTTCTTTTTCAATTACATCATTAATCATCTCCATAATATCATATTTTTGGTAAATCAACATTTTCATACCCATTAATGTGGCACTAAATCCAGCACCAAGAGCTTGAAATTTGATTTGGTCTGGATAATCATTCAAAAACATTCTGATAATTTCAGCTGTTAGAAGAATCCATAGTAAAATATAGCCGAGTTTGACCAAAACTGAATAAACTTCGAAACATAGTTGGACTGATTTGCTTTCGCTAATGGGCTGCTTCCAAAATCCTGTGTTGATCATGACAATCTTGGACCATCCGATTAACTGTTGATTATTCTCTTGATTCGACATTGTTCCTAATAGGCATAAGACACTATTTTAAAAGAAGAAATACAATTGGGATGTTTCAATTGTACAATAATTATTGTCTCGACACAAACAAGAAAGTAATAATTATGAATAGGTATGGGTATAATTAAAGTGTGAAATAATATATTTTGCAATATAAGTATAGAGGGAGTACTTTTTGGGTTGCAATTATTAAACATACACAATAATAAAATATGAATGAATTATTGATTGATTGAATTAAATGATTCCTCGTATAGATACAACTTATTCTAATAGTCTAGGAAAATAGTCAAAAAATACATGTATTGCAAAAAAAAAATCCTACCCAAATGAACTTTTCAGGGATGATAGGGGGCGGGCGGGTGATCATAAAACCGAAAATATTAAACATTCACCCCTCTGGCGTTTTGCGCTATAGGGGTTGAAAGTGCGCCATTGGCGATTACTTGGTACCTATTGATTTTACAAAAAAAATTTTCAAATAAAAGATGTGCAACATTATTTGATCTACAATGTTTATCTAAAGATTTTTTTAATTAAGGGCCGTTTGAAATTTTATAATGAAAATGAAAAATTTTAACCAACGTGAAAATTTTTTCTACAACACATACAACATTTTTGCTTTATAAAGTTTTTACTCACCCTATGCCGTTTTTCAATAGGGGTAGTTTAAAGTTTATTTATTTTTTCACGAAAAAAAATTCCTTATGAGAGTTTTATAAGATTACATTTCCTACAATTTTTCCCAATCAACTTTTTTTGTAACTCACCCCCATTCAGCGGGGAGACACTTCCCTTAGGGAAAGTTTAGTTTTTAGGGGTATATATAATTTTTTTTTTCTTTTTTCGCCTTTAGTGCATATAAAAAGGTGCAATTAACATTGTACTAAAAGAATTTTTTTTCCACCACCTTTTTGTTTTTAGGGGTAGTTCGCCTATTTTCAACTTTGCAAAAAAAAGTTATAGAGAAAAGTTGCTCAAAATGATAAAATGAACAAGTTTTCTTAATAATTTTTTTTTGTAAAGTTGAAAATAGGCGAACTACCCCTGAAAACAAAAAGGTGGTGAAAAAAAAATCCTTTTAAAACAATGTTAATTGCAACTTTTTATATGCACTAAAGGCGAGAGAAGAAAAAAAATTAATATATACCCCTAAAAACTAAAATTTCCCCGAGGGAAGTGTCCTCCGGCTGAATGGGGGTAAGTTACAAAAAAAGTTGATCAGGAAAAATTATAGGAAATGTCATCTTATAAAACTTTTATTGAGAAAAATTTTTTGTAAAAAAATAAAAAAACTTAAAACGGCAGGGGGTGAGTAAAAACTTCATAAAGCAAAAATGTTGTATGAATTGTAGAAAAATTTTTCACGTTGGTTAAAATTTTTCATTTTCATATAGATAAACATTGTAGATCAAATAATGTTGCACATCTTTCATTTGAAACATTTTTTTGTAAAATCAATAGGTACCAAGTAATCGCCAAAAGCGCACTTTCAACCCCTATAGCGCAAAACGCCAGAGGGGTGAATGTTTGATATTTTCGGTTTTATGATCACCCACCCTCCCCCTATCATGCCTGAAAAGTTCTTTTGGGTAGAATTTTTATTTTTGTAAATCGACAATTTTCCTAGACTATAAAGTCATCAAAAAGCACAATATATTACGTAAGTAGTTTTTTTTTCTAATACCTCACTAACATTCAAATATGATACCTAAGCTCCTATAAGAGCCTTTGCTTATAGTCAAATCCATTCATCATACATTTATGCCTATGCAAATTGCAAATGCTGACTTTGTTATGTTGTAGTCTGCTTGAATCCACTAGTTGAACACGTTTTATGAAAAAAATTTGTCATGCATTGGAAAAACTGTTCCCAAAAACCAAACAAATAATTTGCACGGACAAGTAGCTAGGGACAGGACGAACTTATTGTTGCGGAATCAGTATCGCGACCTTGGGCGAGCTGTCAGGCAACAGACCAGAAGTAAGTATGAAGCATAAAGTACACTTTTTGGACATTTGCTAAATCTAGAAGTCTCTCAGGTCTCAGGAGGCATCTCCTCAGAAATCATTAGCAACGGTATTACTTATAGGAAACCCAATGACATTGCAAATGCATTTGCAGTGCATTTTAGAATCTCAAGGGGAATTTAGTTTTTCAATAATGACAGAAGAAGCTGTTAGAAAGGGCAGAAAAAAACTTCAACCCAAAAAAGCTACTGAAAAGAATAACATTCCTGCATGTATATTCGAGAGATATGTGGACTAATGCTTGTTGCACCACTTGCATATATATTCAATCCAGCTCTTAGGATCAACGTCTTTCCAGATAGATTGAAAGAATCTACTCTTATACCCATTTTTAAAACCAATAGTAGAGAAAAGATAGAGAATTATAGACCCATCAGTATTCTTAATAAAAATATTCGAGACCGGATTATAGGATAATATTATGGAGAATTTCAAACACAAAATTGCTCGTTAACGTCATGGTTTTTTACCTGACAGATTAACTAATCTAATGGTGTTTAGTGATGTGGTGACAGACGCAATTAAAAGTATAGGGGTCAGCTGGATGTAATTATAAATGATTGCTCCAAGGCATTCGACAAGGTAGATCTTGGTAAACTCTTGAATAAATTGGCAAATTTTGGTTTTTCAAGGAAGGCATTGTTGTTTATGATGTCATATTTAGAGAGTAGTTTCCAGCAGGTCAGAGTGTGAGGGTTCTCGTCATATGAGATTTTGGCTACATCAGGGAAGTAATCTGGGCCCTCTTCTTTTGGCATTCTTCATTAACGATTCACCTGAATGCATAGGTAATTCATCCAGTTTGATTTTTGCAGATGACTTTAAAATGCTCAAAACTATAGGTTCGCTAAATGACTGTATCCTGCTGCAGAATGATCTCATAGCAGTCTGTGAGTGGTTCCAACAGAATGTTCCTGAGCATAGATAAGTGCGCTGTGATAACCTTCACCCGTGAAGTTAATTATTTCAGTTCTGACTATTTTATTAACGACATAGAACTTGAGAGAAGGGTGCAATGGGTGCAATACAGTGATCTTGGAGTATTATTTCAGTCCAATTTCAAATTTAACGACCATTATAATGATATTGTAAATAAAGCATCTAAAGCTCTAGGTTTTGTTATAAGAAATTCTAAATATTTAATTAATTTGAACACTATTGTAAGGTTGTATAACGCACTAGTGAGACCACATTTAGAGTATGCTTGCGTAATATAGGCACCTGAAGCTGACTCTAACATCAACTTCATCGAGAAAGTACAAAAATAGTATATTGTGTATTTAGGTAGAAAAGTGACACATTCTCGGCCGACGGTGTAAGTTGACGGGCGAGGCGTAGCCGAGGCCGGCAAACACCGAAGACCGAGAATATGCTTTTCCACAGAAATACACATACTATTTTTTCTGCGATCGGTTGAATACCTGTTAAATGTTTGTCTTTTAGTTCCAATTATTCAGCAATACGAGAATCACTTTCCCAGCCTAGGCCGGAAAAGTGTTTTCTGTATTGTTATTCATTAATTCCTTAGCAACTATTGAAACATATGTAATTGAAATACCAGAATATTAAGTTTTGCGACCTGTCAACCGGTCAAAAATGCTTCTTGTCATTCCCAGAAAATTATATTATTAACAATGTAAAATATAGATATTTGTAATTGATAGATTATGTAAAACTATTAGTACCTAAGTTAAATTTGAGACTCATTAGTCCACTCTAATAACTCCGGAGAGAACTCACTCTTCTGGAGTACCTTCACATCACGGATTTGGAAATCCTGACCCGTGTAGCGTACCGACCTTTGTCACTTCGTGTAAACAAAAGGTGATAGACTTGGTCTTGGGCTCACTATCCATGGCCCATGATAAGCAAGTGGACAGTGTCTGACGAACTGTCCCTATCGGTCTATCAGATCACAAACACATCCTATTCAGCTTGGACCCTGATCACAAGACTAGGCCCAGTAAGTTCAGGAACCCCCGAAACAGGAACTGAGACCAATACGTTGAGATCCTAAGGGCTAAGCTAGAAGAGTTTTCCACGCCATGCCGCAGCGCAAGGCAAGTGGAGGAAACAGCCGAATTCATAGGCAACGCAATCACCAATACGTACAAATGAAGCTGTCAGCTTCGGACCTATCGAGGAAAGAAGAAAACCCCTTGGTGGAATTTCCACCTCGACAAGGCTTGTAAAAAAAACCCGCAGGCTCTTCAACAGGGCCATACGGTCTAAATCCCTAGCTGACTGGGACACCCACAAGCAGTCTCAGCGCAGATACAAAGATCTCATGAAAAGGTCCAAAAGAGAACCATGGAGGACATTCAGCGGAAAGGTTGACGAGCTTTCGGCAGCCGCCAAGCTTCAAAAGATTCTCTCAAAAAACCTAGGACGAGAGCTGGGGTCACTAAGCATTCCCTCCGCTAGTTATAGCGCTACCGCAGAGGAGGTATCTACTTGGTTGGCTCCTGGAAACACACTTTCCGGGCTCTGAAATCCTGCAAACTGGTGAACCACCAATGCACGCTCCATAAGCTGGCGCAAGGCCAGCTGACTGGAAGATAGCTGCAAGAGTGGTATCAGAAAACTCCGTAGGAGGAGGAGTCATCCACTCATTTGGAGTGCAGGACCAGATGGAATCTTTCCGGCTCTTTTATAAAAGGGGCTGGAACTACTGATTCCGCACCTAATACGCCTCTTCAGGGCCTGCCTCGCATATGTTGCGTGTGCACACATTCATCAGGGAAGGGGCATTGGAAGCAATACTTATGCAAACACGAATAAAATCTAAATTTCTGAATTGAATAACACGTACAAAAGACAGTTATAGAATTTTCAACATCAAACATTGTTTGTTAAATTTAATATTAATGCTCTATCGCCTGTAACATTCTGACCCATGCAATAACATTTCTGACCCTTGAAATAGCTCCATCATCGTCCCGACATTCTGACCCCCTCTCTTGTGGTGTCTGGC